TATCACCTGTCCCCACCTCGATTCTGCTCATGTTCCTTCCTTTCCTCTTTTCTGAGCCCTGCCCCTGAAGCCTTGGCCAGCAGTCACTTAGCAGGCTTGTTCTCCACACCCTCCTTCCTCTGCCCACCCTCCCTCACCACACTGGAGATTTTTCTAGGCTTTACTTAGGATTGTTAAATGCCATCTTTCGCAATGAGGACATTGGGATTCTTTCCTTGGAAGGGAAAGCTTTTTGTAAAATGTATTGTGTTCAAGTTAGCAAAATATGTCCTTTTGTGCTATAAGCTTAGGGTTTGTTTTCCCATGAAGTGAGTATCTAGTGCAGCTGGGATGTTCAGTGTCTCTTAGGTCGCTGTCACACTGAGGGGTGAAAAAAAATCAAACCGGCTTCAATTGCTATTAGTATACAAGTGGCAAACTATAGAATAAAAGGAAAGAGTTACTTTTAATTGAGTGATAAGGGCAAAACTCCAGGAAGTGCATTTAGCTAAGATTGAAGGATGGTAATATTTGAGAATAGGAAGAGGACTAGTGGCAATTCCAGATGGAGAGAACATGCTGAGCAGAAGACGAGGGGAACGTGGGCATGTGGACAGCAGTAATGCTTTTGGGCTGAACCCCGTGTGCCTGGAGGTCATGAGAGGGAAAGGAAGACAGGAGAATTGAGCATGGTATTTTCAAGTGCTGCGTTTCATATCAAGGTCATACACATGTTCTAATATGGTATAAGTGCTCTTATTCCAGACAGTCTCTTCATAGTTGAAGATTCTTATATTATTTTCTAAAATGGGATTGTCGGGGAAGTGGGACAATGATCACAAGTACCCCTATATCATCTGTTTTGGAAGCTCGCATAAAATACGGACATCTTTTTCTCCACTTAAAGGCTCACCCCAGCTCTCAGTAGGCTGAGGCAGGAAGATGATGAAATCAAGATTATTCTGGGCTACACAGTGAGACTGTCTCCGAAAAAAAAAATTATAAAGGGAAAATAGGGTATTGTAAGAATTTATCTTATTGATGCCATCTAGAGATATTTATCTAAGTGTAGGAAGGTGAAACAATTTTAAACATACAGAAAAGTTGGAAGTTCAGTTAAAAAAAAAAAGGATATTTTCTTACCTATTTGAGAGTAGGTTGCTGACATGATACCCTATTACCCCAGATACTTTACTATGTATTTCCTTACATCCTCTTGCGTGAAAGTATACAGTGGTACTGGCCATTGCTAATGATCAGACCCTGTTCCACTTTTACCAGTTGCAGCAATGCTTTTTATAATGAAAAAATCCAGTTCAGATCTGCACCAGTAGTCAGGTCTTAATCTCCTCAACTCTAGAAGACCGTGGTCTGACACTGGACCCTAAGCCCTGTGCCCGTAAAGAGCAGCAGTGCTGTTGTTGAGCAGGGTGCCCCTCCTGGCTGTGCTGCTTCCGCTGTCCCACAGCCTCAGCAGGGCTGTTACAGAGTGACACTGGGTTTTTCCAGTCAGGTGGCAGCTTTCAACTGTCTCATTACTGTCGGTATTCTCTCTGGTAACTGGCAAAGGTAATGGTTTGCCAGGCATGTCTTGTAGGCTTTTCCCTGCCTTTATGATTGTTTTGAGGACTTTGAGATGATAAAAATGCCCATTTCCTTGTGGAGTTTCTAGTCTATAAGTCTATTTGGGGAGTAATAACATATTGTTCCTTTTGTTGCTTGTATTCCACACTTGTCAGTACTCTTGAACATGTCACAAGGAACCCATTCTAAGTACAAGAGCAGGAGTAGGTAGTTCTTTCAGGGCCCCCCAGTGTAGCCCTGGCTAGCCTGGGACTCTGCAAACCAGATGACCTGCCTCTGCCTCCCCAGTGCAAGGATTAGCGTATGAGTCATCACACCCAGCAAAGCTCCATTCTCTCCAATGCTGGCTCCTTAGTAGCCAATTTAAGCCAATTTCCTTGTAGGTCAAATGGAAATTGTAGCTTTGTTCCTTAGGTTATTGTGAAAATTGAATAATGCATACAAACACCTGGCTTGTGTTGCTGTCAGAATAATCAGGAGATAATAAGTACTTCAGCAGCAATGCCATTTTAAAGTTGCTGGCAATAGCTTCAAAGGAAAGCAAGACTCTTGGCAGGAAAAATGCAATCTCATCTATTCCTGCGTGCGTGCGCGCGCGCATGCGTGCTCTAAAAAGATAATTCCAAAGAACAGAAAACTAAGCAGCTTGGCATTTACTTGCATATTTGAGCTGGATGACAGTGTAATAGAAGGATTGTCATTGGGCCTGAGCTGGTATTTATTTGGTGTGCAATTGAGGAGAAAGTAGTTGTTATTAGACAGTATTTCTTGATAATTTAAGTTGCAGAGAGATTGTTCATATGGGAAGGGAATGACTTAGTATTAAATTACATTTGCTGGCTGCTGTCGTTGAACCAAATGATGAGTGCTACTGACACTAATCCATCAGTAATTCCTACATTACCATGTCGGTAGTGCGTTTTAAATTCATACAGAGTGTAGCCTACGGGATACTGTAGAGCTATCTCACCTGGAAACCATACCTTCTGCCAGGAGAAATAGACTAAGTGTTTTGCACATCTGCTTTTTTGTGTAGTATACATACTTAAAAAAATCAGTCGGGTGCTGGTGATGCATGCTTTTAATTCCAGCACTTAGGAGGCAGAGGCAGGTAAATCTCTATGAGGGCATCATGGTTTACAGTGCTGGATAAGTGTTCTGCCACTGAGTAAACTCTCAGCCCTACCCATGGTACCCTGAATGAGGAAGTACAGTATTTAAGGAAGGCAAATCTGGTTTCCTTTAGAAAACAGAATTCAATTTATATTGTAAAATTTTATGTTTGTATTGAACATTAGAAGAAGTTAGATGTAACTTCTGTAAATACGTAGAGCAATATCAAGGAATGTGGAGTAAGACACTTTTAGTGTCATGCAAAAATTCTTCCCCACTCCAGTTTTGTACTGGTTAGAGAAAGGCCCACACTTAATTATGAACACATAGAGAACGTGATGATAATTGAGTCATTTAGCCTTTGCTGTGCTGCCAGCTAGCTGAGCACAAGTCACTGGATGGTAAAAGTGAGGCTTACAAGGAAGAACCTTGAGTGGATAGTCTGAAGAGAAGCAGATCTGGAGGTTAGATACTTTGTAGAACCCGGGGAAGAAATTTAAGGTAAAAGAAGAGTGTGTAATCCAAGTGGCTAGGACTGTTAGGTAAACTGAGGCTGAGAAGAGCCCTTTGCCAGCAGTGGAGATAGACAGGATCTGGGGAGGCTGGAGCCATCTGCTTGCTTGCTTCCTAGAGCAGCACGAGCGCCCTGCCGAGGTCCGCAGTTGTGCAGTGTAGACAGAGGACAGGGTGAGAGTGGTATTGGCAGGCCGGCAGTGTGACCCAGCGGGCCAGGCAGCCAGCTGCCGGAGAGGAGGGAGTAGGACAGGAATTCCACTTTCCAATGTGTTACTTGGAATTTTTTGAAAGACTAGATATGGTTTATTTTTCTTTGGTTCTTTGATAAATTGTAAGAGTAAGAGTGTATCTGCTAAATGTTAGGAAGGTTTTTCCTTTAAACTTTGTGGATATTTTTGTTGTTGCTGATTTTTCTTTCAGTAGACTAACCATAGGAGCCTGCTCTAGGGAAACTATTGTTTAAATGGTACTTATTAACAAGATAACATCAGCTGCTAGAAGGAAGAAAGGCAAAAGGTCAGTAAAGACTGCCCCACTGCTGTGCTAAACTTTCTGGTCAACCAGTGGCTTACAGCACTGTACCTGTTTATAGTGGTATATCAATTATATTTTAATAAATAAAGCTTGCCTGAAGACCAAAACGCAAAACAGCCCCACTAGTCAGCCATACAGGTCAGGGAGTGATGTCACACACCTTTAATCTCAGAACAGAGACAGAGGCAGATCTATTTGAGTTCAAGGCCACCCTGGGCTACACAGATTGAATCTGTCTAAAAGAGAAACAGAGCTCACACAAAGGCCATCCCAGCACTAGGGAGGTGGAGACAGGAACTATATGGCTGGGTGGAGAGAGGAATATAAAGGGGGAAGTGCAAAGAACTCAGTGGAGTGTGGAGTCTGAGATTGGTGGAGAAAATTACAGGATCACCTCTTTTTTTTTTTTTTTTTTGTCTGAGCCTTGGTAGAGGTAAAAGGTCTAGAGAGTGGCTTGACTGCTTTGCTTCTCTGACTTTCAGGTTGAACCCCAATATCTGTCTCTGGGTTTATATTATTTGTGCTATACCTGTTTATTCAATTTCTGTGTTCAGGCACTATTCTAAGTGTCAAGGATTGAAGGGTGAATAAGACAGGTCATCAGTGAGAAAAGATGAATTACTTAGATGGTTGGAATTATTTAACTCCAACAAGAAGGCTGTATCACTAGTTGGAGAAAATGCCTAATATAATACACTGGTGTTAAGGCCCCATTGCTGAAGGCAATACCTATATAGAACATGGAGATGTGGAGCTGGTGCCTACATAGAACCTTCATCTTATGTTTCAGCATCTTCAACACAGAAAGATATTCTGCATATTATCAAAAAAGTAATGTAAACATCTGTCTGCAAGAGATGCTAGGGTAATGGTGGCACAAAGCTTGTGGGAGCAACCAACCAATAACTGATTTGACTTAAGTCCCATTCCACGAGATCTAATCTAGAACCAACACTGCTTGACCAAGAACCTGAGACTAGATAGCCCAGGGACACAGGGAAAACCAAATAATACAGAGAGAGAGAGGGGAGAAAAGAGGAAAAAATTTAAAAAGTGTCACATTTTGAAATTTTTTTTTCAAATTCTGGCTTTATAGCTATATAAATTCTGATGTCACTTGGGAGGCAGAGGCAGGCGGATCTCTGTGAGTTCGAGACCAGCCTGGTCTACAAGAGCTAGTTCCAGGACAGGAACCAAAAAGCTACGGAAAAACCCTGTCTCGAAAAATAAAATAAAAAAAAATTCTGATGTTTTCAATTATTATTTTTTAACAGCATCTGCAGAAAAGGAGGCAATTAAAAGTACATATACCAAAGTACTGGATGCATATGGACTTTTGGGAGTTTTACGATTAAACCTTGGTAAGTCTGTTATTCAGTGTGACTCATCTACTTCCCCATTTCTTTTTTATAACCTTGAAGATTACAGAGACTGCCTACATATTATTTCAGACTCAGTATCTGAGCTTTAAGTGTTATATATCTTTTTAACACTAATTAAGATAAAAATTCTAAAATTTTTATTGACATTGAAAATTTCATGTAATACATTTTGATCATATTCACCCCCAACTCTTTCCAAATCTACCCCCACATCCCTACCCAACCAAATTTCTGTCTGTCTATCTGTCTTTCTGTCCCTTCCTACTCCACTTCTTCCCTCTCCAACTACTTCTCTCAAACTTACGAAGTGCAGTTTGTGTTGGTTAACTACTCTTGGAAGTGGAGTTTACCCTGGAGTGTGGTCAGTCTACCAGAGATTACACATTCAGGAAATGGACTGTGCCCTTCCCAGCAGCTATCTGATCTTTGGTGAAGAGCACTTGCTGCTCTTCCAGAGTACCCACGTTTGGTTCCCAGGATCTCATGGTAGCTCACATAGATACATTCAGAGAAAACACTCCTATACATACAATAAAAATATTTAGGCTAACCTTATATGTTTCTTTCTTAGAAAGACATGCAACATTTTTAAAATCACAGGAGAGTGTCTTGTTGAAACACATTAGCAGAAAATGAGAACAATCCCTTTGTTTTCTTTCAGCACATTAAGGAATAGGTGTGTGGGAAACACTGATTCCCTAGTATACGATGGAAAAGGCATCTGTTTTAGATTCAGAAATGTCTGCTATATAGTATTCTTTTGTAACTTAAAATCATTTACGTGTGTGGATGTTCGGTGATGTCATGTATGTCTGTGAACGACATGCTTGTAGCCTGCTGCATCAAGAACGGTGTCAGATCCCGTAGAACTGTTGTGAACCACACCATGTGGGTGCTGGGTATCAAACTTGGGTCCTCTGGATGAGCAATGCTCTTAACCACTGAGCTGTCTCTCTACCCCTGACTTAATGTTATCATAATTTTCAGGATAACTTTTATGATTAGCAGTTTGTCTACACAGGTATGCCTTGAAATGTGGCCCAGACACTGCACCTGGTTCTTGCTTTTATTGGTCTGTGTGAGAAAGTAAGCTTGCACTATTGTGCATATACAGCAATGGTTTTCTTCGTTGATGAAATCTAACAATGAGACTAAAAGAAGAAAAAGAAGTCAACTAAAGGGGGGATTTAGTTATATAGTAGATTTTATTATGATTTAGGCACCTTTCTTACTGGGGGCTGCCAAGAGCTGACATACTCTTTTGATGGAGCATTTGAGCAGTACTGGCCTATAAAATGGAGATTTGTCATTTGTTATTAATTTATCATATTCAGAAGACTGTGCTGGACTGTTAACTGTTATTGTTTAAGTAATTATGAAATAAATGTTTTAATTACCTTTCACAAGGAATTATATTATAGGTTGGCCATGCTAGCATACTCAGTTTAATCTGGATAATAAGTAAGGAGCCATGATTTGGGAATCTTTCTGCTTATGCCATTGCCTGTACACTGACTCTAATATAAATAAGATTTGTGTTATAATTAAATGAAAAAAAATCCTGGTGTTCAGGAGTTAGGACCACAGAGTAAACCCCAATATCATGCCATTTGCTGTAAAAAAGAAAAAAGGAAAACCGTAGAAAGTCTGTGAAAGTTTTCATGAACCAGATTGCTTTATAAATAGTCACAAAGGTCTTGTTCCCATATGCTGTCATCTTCATTTTAAAACTTTACCATTTACAAAGATATTGGACATTCATTATCTTATCTGAGTCTCCTGTCCAAGGTAAGATTATGAGGGCAGCATTTTTTCAAGAAGTTTTGTTGCCTCAGATTAAGGTTGGAAATAACTTTATAAATGTGACATTGTCTTATTAATGTCTTAGTGCTTGGCATACTGAATTATTTAACTGAGAATATTTTTTTCCCTGAAAGAATACCTCTGGTTGTCAATTTAAACATGTTCATGGTAAGTTTAGAATAATCATAATGATCAGGCATGGTGGTACGCATCTATAATCCCTGCTCTTATGGGCTGAGGCCAGAGGGTTGGGAGTTCCAGGCCATCTTATGCATCACAGTAAGACTGTTTAAAAAAAAAAAATCACAACATAAGATTTTAAAGATGGAAACACAGGAAGAAGTCAGAAGAAACTATAGAGCTTGAAAATGTTGGCGTTCTGCCCAGTAAAATCGTTGGTTTTTGCAGGTGATACCATGTTACATTATCTGGTCCTAGTCACTGGATGCATGTCTGTTGGGAAAATCCAAGAATCTGAAGTTTTTCGAGTAACTTCCACTGAGTTTATATCACTTCGAGTTGATGCTTCAGATGAGGATCGCATTTCAGAAGTCCGAAAAGTTTTGAACTCAGGAAACTTTTATTTTGCGTGGTCTGCATCTGGAGTCAGCTTAGATCTGAGTCTGAATGCACATCGCAGCATGCAGGAGCACACGACCGACAATAGGTTTTTCTGGTGAGTCTGTGTCTCTTGCTTCCTTTTTAAATTAACTATTGTGGTAGCTCGGGGATGTGAGGCGTAATGTGTTCAACAGTGACTCTTTATGGACAGATGGGCATGGTTGATTGAGTGTGCACTTTTTTTCCTGCCCTGAGTCTGCAGCAGAGTAGGGCAGGCACCTTGATGGAGTGGGAATATGGGATGAAGCCCATTTGCTGCTCTTCCTGATCTTGACTGAAATGTGCTTAAATTTGCTTATTTGTGGAATTTGTAGTGTAGTTATATCACTCCTTCTGGTCTTATTTCTGAGATCTCATCTCTGACATTTTCATCAATCTAAGCAGTGTTCCCTTATTTTCAATGTTAAGATTATAAGTAGTTGATCCTCTTTCTTTGTTGGTGCTGGGAATTGAGCATACTTGGTGCATAGTAGGCAGGGGAGCCCTCCTCTAGCCCAAGTAGATGCTCTCAGTGCAAGAGCAGCAGGTTCTGAAGAAACAGTGCACTGGGACACTGTCTAGCACTGCACTAACTAAAGCTTGGGTAGGTATCTGTCACTGCAGGTTTCTCTCCCACCTACCAGTTCCCGGATATCCACTCTAAGGCTTAATATTAATTACAAACGATGGCTCAGGCTTATTATTAACTAGTTCTAGTAACTTAAATTAACCCATTTCTGTTAATCTATATATTGTCACGTGGCCATGGCGTTAACCTAACATCTTGCTTCCTTGGTGACTGCTGGCATCCCCCTGACTCCACATTCTTTCTCCCTCTCTCTTTGCTTGGATTTTCTGCTTAGCTCTGTTCTGCCCTGCCATAGGCCAGAGCAGCTTCTTTATTAACTCGTGGTAATAAAACATATTCACAGCATACAGGGTCTGTTACTTGATGCTGCTGAGGTGCCATGTTATAGGTAAGCACAAATGGTGAGCGGAAGCTAGTGATGATGGCATGCACTTTGTCAAGTGTCTAGAGATATGCTTTCCAGGGTGAAGCCTTTGCCAACCCTGTGTGTGTGTTTTCTGGTGGGAAACCCTGGAGCCCTCTGAAGTAAATGATGATAATCCAGCTGTGCTTGGGCAGCTGTCCATACCTTTTTTGTTCCCTACGTATGTCTGTCCCCAGTCTTAGAGGGACAGAGGAAAACTTTCCATCACATTAGAAATCCAAGCAGATACAATTGTGTTTACAGAGTTTAATAATTAGTAGGAATAGTTCTTTCTTTTTTTTTTAATTAAAGGTAGAGATTGGGACATGCTTAAATCACTTCCTGAAAAAGTTTGTCCAGTGGTTGATAGGCTGAACTTTTGCTTTGCTAAATATTGAAATACTTGAGTTTAATTTTACCTAGAAAAATGGAAGCTTAGAATTCACATCCTTGTAGCTTTGTCTGTATGTCTTTCTTTCTTCCTCTCCCTGTCATTGTCTCTCTCTCTCTCTCTTTTTTTTTAAGATACAATAAGCTTTGTAGCTAGACTGCCAAAAACTCCCACAAAAACTGTAGTTTTATTTCATTGGAGATTTTAAGTAGTACTGTTTCTGCTCAAGACTTGGCATAAATGTAAATAGAATAAAACCTCATTGCCCCTAGAGTAAAGGACAATGTGAACTGACAGCATAACAAGAACTCTACCTGCCTATATATAATGCCTTAGATCCAAGCTGTGCTCCATGACATAGCTCTCGGTTGTGCCCATTGGACATACTGGGTCATAATCTGTTGAGGTTTGTCTCAGATCAGGGTAAATCATGGTAAAGTATGAGAGCATGCGTCATGGGGTCAGCTGAATGAGTTATGGTCGTTGACTTTCATGTCACCCCAGTGTAGTCTCATCACTCAGTTGCATTCCATTTCATTTTATGAATGGATAGGAAGGGTTAGCATGGTACCTGGTCTCCTGGAACTGCATGGCCACCACCGAGTGGATCTCAATGGTAGCCTGTTACCTGAAGGGCAAGGAGTTGAGGACTCCTGCTCTTAGCAGCTTTGCTCCTTGTTACTGTTGTTAATGACGCTGGGTGTTCAGGAAGGCACTGTTACATTTCTGTTACCTTTTTCATAAGATACCAGGGTAGTGTAGAACACTTAAAGTCCATTGAGAATGATCAGAGTCTTACATAATCATATTGAAAAGTAACTTTTGAATTGATGAAGTCATTTGCTGAATGACATCTTTTTTTAGTAGGTTTGCTAGAAGTTTCCACAGAACCTTCCATGTGTATAGTGGAAGACTAAGGTTCCAATAGCAACCTCTGCAAAGAGTCAGCAGGGTGAGAAGGCTAAGGTGGTGGGTTCACTCCCCTGTTCATGTTTAGTCATTGGGACTCTAAGTATTTTTATCTTTTGTTTCTTCATCATTGGGCTATGTGTTTGCTGGAATAAAACGTTTTTCCTTTCACGTTTGTAAACCAGGCCCTATCTAATACCTCTAGTTGTACAGCATTTAGGCTGTGGGTGTGCTCAATGATAGAACCCTTATTTAGCACGAGTGAGGCCCTGGAATATATGACTAAAGGTGAAAAAAATTTTGGAGCATAGAAAACATTATGCCTTCCTTACACTGTGTGGTACATAGCTACTAGCTATGCCAGCTATTTATTTTATTTTATTTAAATAGCACGTTTCTTTCATTTACTCTATACACCAACCAGTTTCCCTTCCTTCCCCTCCCATCCCATCCATCTTCCTCCCTTCCATTTCCACTTAGAAAGAGACAGGCCTCTTATGCCCCCCCCCCCACACCAGCACAAAGCATAGCACATCAAGTTGAGGCAAGACTGAGCTCCTCCCCCTACATCGAGGCAGGGCCAGACAACCCAGCTTAAACTTAATTAAAATACAGCCTTACAAAAGTCTTCTATGTAAATCTCTTTGATAAAGTAGGATGTGTTTGTGTAACTCCTTCTGGAACATGTCAGTTTATGTGTGTGTTCTACGAAGTAGACTAGAAATGTTTTATCAATACTACAATCACAAGGTTTTAGTACAATAAGATATTTTATTTTATAGCCCTGTCTTTAGTATAGCAAATGGTTTGCTTGGGGAACCTTTTAATAATATTACATTAATGTTTTAAAATGTATTTAGTGTTGTTTTGTACTTAGTAATTTAATCCACTTTCTTCTTTTACCCTTAGGAATCAGTCTTTGCATTTGCATCTCAAGCACTATGGTGTGAATTGTGATGACTGGTTATTGCGCCTCATGTGTGGAGGGGTAGAAATCAGAACAATTTATGCTGCCCACAAACAAGCAAAGGCTTGCCTCATTTCAAGGCTAAGCTGTGAACGAGCTGGGACAAGGTTTAATGTCCGGGGAACGAATGATGATGGTCACGTTGCCAATTTTGTAGAAACAGAGCAGGTACATAGTGTTTTATATTTCTTACCACATGTTGTGAAAGAGACACAGGAAATATTAGAGTAACACAGACTATGAGAGGGAGACAGGAAATGCTGGAGTAACAGGCTTGTGTGGAGACACAGGAGATACTGGAGTAACAGGCTTGTTGGGAGACACAGGAGATACTGGAGTAACAGGCTTGTGTGGGAGACACAGGAGATACTGGAGTATACTGGAGTAACAGGCTTGTGCGGGAGACACAGGAGATACTGGAGTAACAGGCTTGTGTGGGAGACACAGGAGATACTGGAGTAACAGGCTTGTGCGGGAGACACAGGAGATACTGGAGTATACTGGAGTAACAGGCTTGTGCGGGAGACACAGGAGATACTGGAGTAACAGGCTTGTGCGGGAGACACAGGAGATACTGGAGTAACAGGCTTGTGCAGGAGACACAGGAGATACTGGAGAAACAGGCTTGTGCGGGAGACACAGGAGATACTGGAGTAACAGGCTTGTGCGGGAGACACAGGAGATACTGGAGAAACAGCCTTGTGCGGGAGACACAGGAGATACTGGAGTAACAGGCTTGTGTGGGAGACACAGGAAATAGTAGGTAATAGTTTTACCGATATGTTTTGGTGTGTATAATGATGTTCGTAGCTACTTACTAGCCTTAGAAAGGCTTCCCTAGAATAAACTTAATGAGTAATTAAGTAATGTGATATAATCAGTGCTGTACATTTGACAATGAATTTTAAAATCTTCATTTAGAGACCAAGATGGTTTTATATAAATATTTTATGTGAAAATAAGCCCAACTCGTAATGATAGATACGTATTACCTAAAATTCTAAAGTTATAGCATTTGACTGTGGAACTATGTAATCATAAAACTTCAGTCTATAACACAGCCCAACTCAGTTCTTCAAATTATAAAAAACTAAGGAACAAATGAAAGAAAATATAAGAATATATGTATATAATACTGAGATTTAAAATTTTCTTCTTTAAAGTTGTGATTCTTAGATGTTTTTATTTTCTAGGTTATATACCTAGACGACTGTGTTTCTTCCTTCATACAAATCCGAGGATCTGTTCCATTGTTTTGGGAACAACCAGGGTTGCAAGTATGTATATGCCTGATATCCAATTTGTTTGTTTGTTTTCCTCTTTGAAAGCATCCGCATTGTCCAAATTTTCAACATGGTTCTTCAGTTTCACTAATCAGTCTGTTGTGTGTAGTACTAGACTCACAGGTGAGGGCCTGAGGAACATCTCGTCGTAGACATAGTCCCTTTGGTTCTGTGTTAGTTGCTTTTATATTCCTATAGTGATTCATCTTAGTTATCCCAATTTCATAAAGAAAAATTTTATTTTGGCTTATAATTTTAGAGATTGGAAGTCGCGATCGGACAGGCTTGTTGGTTTGACAGCTAGTGAAACAGGATGACACTTGGTGGCCTTACCCCAGGGTGATGTGGAAGGAAGAGAGCACATATTTAAACAGAAGCCAAAAAGAGTCAGCTATATTCCGCTCAGACTTCTGGAGCTACTAGGCTCCCATAAGAGTGCCAGCAGAAAACCAGCATTCCCTCCACACAGCTTCTCTCCCATCTAAAGGTTCCAGGCCATCATTAATGCCACCCTAGGGACCAGTCTTCGAAAGCATGAAGGCTTAACAGAACCACATAACATAGCTGTAGCAACTCAGGAGCCTGTTAATTTGTTAAATTTTAAAGTTTTTTAAAAGTGTTTTTATTTATTTGTTTTTTTTTTTAGTGTAAAATTACTTAGTTTCTTTAAGCAGAATTTGGTAGCTTTAAAAACTAAAAAAACAAAACCCTCTGTTCCCAGACTGTATTTACACCGGTATTCTACCATTACTGGTTAAGTGATCTTGGACAAGTGATTGAATCCTTCGTCTGTCTCAATTTCCTCACCTGTGAAATGAGAATGATATCTTCTTCCTGGTGGGGCCGTTCTGAGGATTGAATGAAAACCTCTTCAAATGGTGCCTGGCACGCAGCAGCACATCAGGACCAGCCATCGCTGGTTTAAGTGACGTGTCTGTGACTGCACTTTGGCTTTGTAATCTGTGATGTCTTATCATCCTCAGGATAGTCCTGATAATTTTTAACTTGATTTTTAAAAATATAATTCCCTCATCTTTACAAAATGTTTTTTAAAAATATAAGGTTATGACCAGGTGGTGTTGATGCACACCTTTAATCCCAGCACTTGGGAGGCAGGTGCAGGTGGATCTCTGTGAGTTCAAGGCCAGCCTGGACTACATAGAGAGTTCCAGGATTATTTCACAGAGAAACCCTGCCTCAAATAAATAAATAAATAAGGTTATGATATTATTTCTAGAAGTATAATCTTACATTAATTGTAATGAGAAGTGCTTACGCCCTATAGTGCCATGTTCGCTGTAGCCCTCTGGTGTGGGTACTCTGGCCTACCATATGTCTCAGTGTTGTAAACTGATACAGAAAAAGAAGCTTTGCTTCCCCTTTTGCTGCTAGACCATTCTTACATTCTAAGCAGGGCCCCTGAATGTTTTCAGTGTTCCAGTCTGTTTAAGGTAGGCCAAGCACACGAGGACTATTTGTTTTGCTTCTTTTTTTGGCTTTTCGAGACAGGGTTTCTCTGTGGTTTTGGAGCCTGTCCTGGAACTAGCTCTTGTAGACCAGGCTGGTCTTGAACTTTTGTTTTGCTTCTTGCCAGGACTGGTTGGACTGGTGAGAGCTTCTTTTGGAGAGCGGTGTTTGTTTCTCTCTCTCTCTGTTTTTGATCTTGTGTTTTTCTAGCTGGCCTGGATCTTCCCGCGTTTTGGCCTTGAACTCACAGAGATCCACCTACCTCTGTCTCCTGGGTGCTGGTTTTAAGGTGCGTGCTACCACACCCAGCCAGGTGAAGACTTTCTGTTTTAGGCACAGGGCAGTTTAACTCTGAGAAAGCACTGACCGAGCCTCACTTTCTTTTAAGCTTTTGTGATCTTTGTGGGATAGTCAGAGTATTTGCTTTAAGAACAGCCTTGAAGCTCCAACCTGATGCAAGGTGAAGCTTCTGTTTGGGGACAGACTGAAGAGGTTCCACTAGCCGGTTTATAAGCCCCCCCTTGTACTGATTCTGTGTCACTGTAACATGTAGTTCAGAGTCACAGTGTTTGATGATCTAGTAGTACATTTGGGTCCTGAATAGCTACATTAACAATCCTCCTTGGGTTGGTCTTTCCTCCTTCCTTCTTCTGTTCCCTGTGTGGTCTCATGTAACAGGGAACCCTGTTGCCTAGTGTTCTTTGGTTATGGACAGAAAACTCTGCTGTTGTAAACCATGCATTTCTTCATAGAGATAATAAATTTTGAGTCACTGAGATAGTCTAAGAATTATACTAAGTTATTACTTAGCTCGTCTTGTGTTGAACTGGTTGGGGGAGAAGGTACCTGAGTCTTTGTTTTTCACAGTTATTGAGTTTAGTAGTTTCTAAAGTCAGCCTTCCTTTGAATAAGAATAGAGTGACCTTTGTTTTGTTTTGAGAAAGTTTCTTGCAACAAATCCCAGGCTGGGAGGGTACTCTCTACTTAGCCCAGGCCTGCCTCAAATGCTTGACAGTTAACCTGCCTCAGCCTCCTGAGAATGGGTTCTTCTCATGAATATATTTTGTACTAAAGCATTTTCTATATTGTTCTTAAACAGTGGTAATAAAGGAATGGAAATATACAATTTGTTTTTAAGAAAGTATAAAAATAGATAATTAACTGATTTTGAAAAATAAAAACACCATGCCAAGGATTAACTGTTCTGTGGACCCAAACTAGGACTCTTGCTTTAGGGGTGTTGTAAATGGTTTTTACATGTTTCATGTATTCTCAGAATGTATTTTATAGACCCAGTTTGTTTGTCTGTTTATGGTGGTTTGCTGTCGAGAGCTTGGTCTGGAGCTTGCAGTGCTCTTGTCTTTATCTCCTGAGCACTGTTAATTGCACTGTGGAATTGAGCGAGCATTACAGAGTTTATTTTCTGTTGTTTTGTTAACAAGTCCCTTTGTTCATATATAGCAGGAAAGAGTTCTAGCCAGAGAAATGGTCACAGGAAATGTCTGGCATCTGATAGGTCTTTTCCAGCCCCCCTTCCCCCTCTGAGAAAAGAAATATACCCTTTGTTAGGTAGAAATATACCCTTTGTTAGGTAGAAATATACCCTTTGTTAGGTAGAAACTTCCCATCTTGTTTTTACCCTAGCACAGCATTTTTAATTCTGCCGAATATGCTGTTGTTATGGTCATGTGGCAGTGAGGTCAACCTGGAAGATCTCTGTCTAGAGAAAGGACTGACTTGTTTCTTTGTATTTGGGAAAGGGGAGGAAAACATACGCAGTCACACATCACTTCCATCCAGGATCCCCTCTCTGAGACTGAGCTACCAGACATGGGTCCTAGGAGCTGAACACAGGGCCTTGGAGGAACAACAGTGCTCTTAAGCACTGACCCGTCTTTCCAGCTCCAGAAAGGATCTGGTTTGGTTTGGTTTTTAAAACATTAGGAGTCTTTATCTAAGTAGAGAAAAAGACATGCAAGCATTGTAGTAGTAGACTACCTGAAAGTGTAAATATCTTAGCTGAACCTTTTTAAAACTTAGTTACATATCTATGCACTTAAACAGGACATAGTTTTGTTTAAAATACGGTAAGCATTATGTTTGAAAGCACTTAAAAGTCTTTTCTTTCAAAAAGTTGCTATTAATGAGTATTTTTTAGTGGGTGTAGCTTGTTCTTTTTTTCTTTTCCTTTTGTCATTTACACCACGTACAACATACAGTCACGTCACTGGCCCCAGAAACACCACTTACCTGTATACTAAAGATATATTCACATTCGAGGAATAGGACACATTAGAGGGGTCCTTTGTAAAAATCATTCTTTTCAATATATTTTTTATAGTTTGTTTCATACATTATTAGCTACTAAATCATAAGTGTTGGGTCCAGGGGGGGTCATGCAAAGATGAGAACACTACCAAGTTTAATAAACCAGAAGCAAACTTTATACCAGAAACTAGATCCTAGGAAAACCAGAAGCAAATTTAAAAATAAAAAAATAAGGGCTGGAGAGATGGCTCAGTGGTTAAGAACATTGCCTGCTCTTCCAGAGGTCCTGAGTTCAATTCCCAGCAACCACATGGTGGCTCACAACCATCTGTAATGAGGTCTGGTGCCCTCTTCTGGCCTGCAGGCATACACACAGACAGAATATTATATACATAATAAATAAATATTTTTTTAATTAAATAAATAAATAAAAAATAAAAACACCACAGGGCACAGAACCTTATCAGCTAGCTTGGTGCGGGAGAATTGTCTGTATTCTGTCAATGACACCATTCTGTAACATGAAGGTCCTGTTTGTTGTTGGGGTTTCTGTCCTGCCCTTTACCCCACAACTGTTTAGCTCCAAAGAAAATCACACATAGGTCTCCATAAATTATAAGTTGATTGGCCCATTAGCTCTAGCCTCTCACTGGCTAACTCTCACATCTTGATTAACCCATTTTTCTGATCTATGTTAGCCATGTGGCTCAGTACCTTTTTTAGTGAGGCAGATCACATCCTGCTGCTTTGGTGGTCTGGACAGGAGTGGGAGGAATCAGCTTCCTCCTTCCCAGAATACTCCTGTTTTCATTACATCATTTCTACTTCCTGTCTGGTTTTTCTGCCTATACTTCCTGCCTGGCTAAAACATGATTGACATAATACAGCCAATTCTCCCGCACCACTTTACAACAAACAGGACCTTCATGTTACATTAGCTGAGACCACAGCCAGAGATGGTGTTTGTTAGGCTGTGGCAAAAGGCTGGTTTCTGAACCCACTTTTTATAGTAGGGGCACCAAGCTCTGAACAAAGGAATTTTTACCATTTTACCCTGACCCTAAGGATGGGAGTGAGTTTTAACATCAGTGGGTAACTAGGCAGCTATCATGAACTATATATATTTTAGATGCTGGGCGGTGGTGGCGCATGCCTTTAATCCCAGCACTCGGGAGGCAGAGGCAGGTGGATCTCTGTGAGTTCGAGGCCAGCCTGGTCTACAAGAGCTAGTTCCGGGACAGGCACCAAAGCTACAGAGAAACCCTGTCTCGAAAAACAAACAAACAAACAAACAAACAAAAAAAGAAATATATTTTAGAGTAGATTACAGCGAAAGTTACTAATTGCAAGAAAACAGACATCTTTAGCAATAGTCAGAAAAGGGACTGCTAGAAATACTAGAAGGTTAATAAATTAGAACTAATTGGTTCTTGGGCTAAGAACTTAGAAGATAGCAGAAAGCTTTTCACACTATCTCAAGGTAGAACTCAGATACTAACTGTCATACTTTACAGCCTTCATTATCAGAGCTCATTAATTAAACCATTGTATTTGTCCACTGTCTCCTGGTACCTCCAGGTGTATACTGGAGCTCCATGCCTCCTCTTTGGTGGCGCCAGTTTTCCATAACAGAGATAGTGTCTAACCCAGAGGTCACATATCTCTGTCTCCTAAAGGTTAACTCAGTTCACATCTGTCGTTTATCAGGGTTGGCCAGGACACTACTTTCAATTTGTAGGGAGAAGCACTGGCCTTGTAAATAAAACAGCCAGTTGTAAAATGAAATGACCTAAGCTGATGGAGGCTTCCCAAGCATCCAAGAAAATAGCTCACTGTGAATGACTGATCCTTGATCTGCTGAGAAAGCTGCTGACAGTCTGTTCTCATTCTCCTAGACTTATAACTTTATATTTCTTTATTTTTACATTCTTATTTTTAGAATCTACGTTTTTATTTTCTTATTCTTGGACTTTTCATTAAGTAAAGCTATGAACTCTAAGGGCTTAAAATATATGCAAATGTTAGCATTTGAAAAAAAGTACTGCCTTTGATTTGATAAATTACTTGCACAATTTATGGTATCAGTCAAATGCTTATCACAAAGTTCTTACTGTCTCCCAGCTTCTTCTGCCAGCAGTCAACTTGTTTACCTTGATAAAGATGCCCTTCATTTCAAAAGTCAGGGTGTTGGGGCAGAGAGACCGCTGGGAGGTTAAGAGCACTTGCTGTTCTTGTGGAGGACCCCAGTCAGGTGCTTAGCATCTACATGGTAGTTCTGTCTGTATCCAGTTTCCAGGGTGTGATGCTCTCTTCTGACCTCATGCACATGATTGAAAGTGTCACCCCAGCCCCTGGCAGTCATCCTTGGGGCGCCAGTGGAGCACCAATGTAGCAAAAAGCTCCATCTCAAGCCCCCTTTTCCGGGGAGTTGCCTTGGTCCGGACTCCACCTCCAGGAAAGCCTGCCAAACACTGACCCCTCCCTGCCATGCTCAGGACCACCTGGGAACGCTGCATTCATTAAACATGAGCATCTTTGATTTGGTCTAATCTGGTCTAATTGGAGTTATTTTGCTTCGGCGGAGAGGCTCTTCTTAAGATTTTTCCTAACATACACACACACACGCCATCACTTACACGTACACATAAAACATGTTTTTAAAAAATAGAATGGTAAAACACCAAGCTTTGTTTTGTTGGTTTGTTTCTCTCAAGCAGGCTTTGAGTTTCTTAAGCAGAGTTACCTCTGTTATCTAGGTGGCCAAGGCAAAACTTGAGCTCAGAATTTTTTGTTAGACTCTGTAGTAACTTGATTTATAGGCATACACTGCTATTTTTGGCCAAAAGCTAAGATTTGTTTTAAAGCAGCAGAGAGGGTGGTTATTTAAACATTATTAAAGCTGGGGATGTGGCCCAGCAGTTGGAAGCATATGCAGTGCTTTTCTGAGAGCCTGAGTTCAACCTGCAGCACCCACACCTGATGGCTTGCAGCCATCTGTAGCTCCAGCTCCAGGAAGTCAGAGCACCCATGCTCATGTTAGCATAACCACACAGAGGCACATAAGCATAATTAAAAATAAAATGAGTATTCTTAAGAGCTCTTCGGTGTGTCAGAACAATGGAAATGCTGCAGAGGAGTGCGTGTTTGCACTGTGCTTTAGATGATATCTAGCAAAAGTAGAAGTTTAAGAAATAATAAAACCAGATTATAATCTATATTAATTTTACAAAAATTCATGCAATACCATATTAGGAAAAGAACCAGTTCTATTCTAAATTTTCTAGGCCTTAGTTATGAACTATTAAACAGTTTGATGAGTTAAAACTTTAAGAATAAAAGTAATGATACATTGGACCAGCAAGATGGCTCAGCAAACAGTGGTGCTTGCTGCACAGAGTCCAATTCCTGCAACCACATAATGATAGAAAGAGGAAACCAACTTCACAGAGTTGCCCTTTGACCTCCACACATGCACTGTGGCCCTACACACACATTATACACATATACACATTATAATGGCAAAAATTTATTTTAGGAGCTCAAAAAAATCTCAGACACATTTCACTAGTGTATGAAATCTTTACTCCTTCAGAAAATAATACTTATTACAGAAACACTGCTTATCCAATGATTAATAATCACTCAAGATTAAGTAAAGCATCTTTGTTACTTTTTGTGATTGTTATTTTGATTTTATTATTATTTATTATTATTTTTTTGTTTTTGTTTTTTGAGATAGGTTTTCTCTACATGTAGCCCTAGCTGTCCTGGAACTCACTATGTAGACCAGGCTGGTCTCAAACTCACAGAGATCCACCTGCCTCTGTTTCTCGAGTGTGCACCATACTCAGCTGTTTTGTTATTTATTTCTTTTTAAACAGGGCCTCATGGTGTAACCCTGGCCAGGATCTAGTCTAGTCTTAAATTCAATGTCATTCTTCTTATCCCTGGGTCCTGAGTGCTGGAATTAACAAGTGTACCACTATACCCAGCTTCCTTTTATGTCATGGAAATAAAGGAATTTTATGTGTTGGCAGTTTCAGGTTATATATTTCTTCTTTCTATCTCTATTAGTCCTCATAAGTTATAAAACTTGGAGAAACCTTCTTTGCTAACATGATAAATTTAGATGGTTCACACAACAAACAATAGCCAAGCTCTGATATTACTTCTTAAATCTTAAGTTTTTTTGGTTTTGATTTCCAGTCAGTAGGGTGTTGGTGTTCTAAGTGTGTATCATCATGCCTGGCCACTGTTCTTTTTACATGAGAGTTTGTCTGAAAACTAGGAGTAGGGAGCCCTGGAATGCTAAACAATTCCCACGAGTGAAGCCCAGGGCATCCATCCACTGTCACTGGATGGATCACTTGCATTGCGAATGCTGATGTTTCTTTGTATTGATAGTGGTTTGGGTAATGATTAAATCTTTTTCATGTCTAAGGTGGGATCCCATCGTGTCCGAATGTCGAGGGGATTTGAAGCCAATGCACCTGCTTTTGACAGGTAGAACTGATGATTTTTGTGTACTATAACGAGGCTCATATTGTATTTGCTTTGTATGGTATCTCTGGATATAGCAGGACCTTTTCTTATCTTTCCTTTTCTCTGTTTTTTAATTTCTTTTTTTTCAGTAGTACATTTTATCCTCATGGATACATGTGTACCATAACACCTTACATTGAAGTTTCTCTTGAACATACGTAAATATGTTAATGTGTAATTTATAGATTAGACACAGTGTGAGAGATACACAAGAACTAATCATATTATATGCATTTATGAAATTGTTAATAACAACTGAAAATAGAGAATTACAACAGTGTACTGTACTAAAATGAATGCATGAGTGTAGCATCTTTCTGGAAAGAGTAAGTACAGGTGGTAGCATTTTTAGAGTCTGGTTGAGCTCAGGTAATGGAAACTATGGGAAGCAAAGCCACAGATAAAGGGAGCCTCCAAAGGCTCAAGCTAGTCAGGCAGCCCTTTTGAATACTCCTCAAGTAGATGGTCACCAGAAGGTCTGTGTCCAGCTTCACAATAGAAAGTAAACTGAAGGCTGGCCTGCTCCAGGGTAGGCCAAGGCATCCATAAGTCAGAGGGGAAACTGTACTTACTGAATTTTATAAATTCAGGGGTTTGAGACATGTAGAATGGATTTGTATCCAATTTAGAAAATTTTATGAGTTTCTTGTTTACTGGGGGAAAGGCTATAATTTTAATATGCTATTTCTTGTTTTTTATCAATAGGCATTTTCGAACACTTAAGGATTTATATGGTAAACAAATAGTAGTAAATTTGCTTGGATCCAAGGAAGGTGAACATATGCTAAGTAAGGCTTTCCAGGTTAGTGTGCCTGCTTTATATTCTGTTCTGGCCCATGGTCACCTAGATGGGAAACAGAAAACAAAGTAACCAGGAAGAAAAGCACTTCCTAGACTAAAGTTAGGTATGCCTTCAACTCTTTGAGGCTATTAGAAAATAGCGTAAACAAAATAATCAATAATGGATCAGTGTAAACTATGTTATAAAAGCTGTCAGACAAACTAGAAACCATTTTCTAAGGTTTAAATTAGGTGGAAATAAGGTTTCATTGAGGGGAAATAACCTAATTAGCTATTTTTTTAAGATTGCAAGAAAATTATTGTTAAACATTGTGCTTTTAAGAGTGATATTTTAATGGTAAGCTTAAAAAATATACATATGTATTGATTGAAGGATTAAAGATGAATCTTTGATCTCTGATTTAGACTTCATGTTACAAAATAAGGTGCTTTATTTTAGATTCTGTAGTAGGTAAAAGTACTCACTAAATTTGTATCATAACAATAAAATACTGGTGATTGGAAACTATTACATTTTCTAATCCAAACCAAAGTATTAATTAGGTTCCCTGAATTAATTATGTCACTCAGTCTCTCAGGGATAGTGTGTGGGGTTTTAGACAACAAATGCCATTAGGAATCAAAAAATAATTCTCCCTTTTGTTGCCAGTGTTAGTGTAGTGAAGGTTTTGGGGGGTTGCACTTGGAATGTGAGTGTGTGTCTGCGATAGCAATGGTCTCCAGCTCCTGCATGAGCCTGTGCTTTCCTTCCAGAGCCATCTGAAAGCTTCTGAGCATGCTTCTGACATCCACATGGTGTCTTTTGACTACCATCAGATGGTTAAAGGAGGGAAGGCAGAGAAACTGCACAGTGTTTTCAAACCTCAAGTCCAGAAGTTTCTAGATTATGGATTTTTTTATTTCGATGGCAGTGAAGTTCAAAGGTTTGACTGTTCTATCTCTCTTCTCTGCAAATTGGAATTTTGCTATAACTTAATAATCATTCTTAACATTAAACTTTGAAATTTCCTTTTTTATATTGATGTTTAGAATTTTAAGTATTTTAATGCTTTATGTTAAGCTTGTTTTTATCTAGAGTTCAATAAATAATAAGAAAAAAGTTTCATTATCTAGAACATATTGTGGGACAGCAGTGCATTAGTCTTTGTATCGGTTGCAGTCTAGGGCTAGGATGTGTGACTGTGAGGAGAATAAGACATGGGCTTGCCCCAGGTCTCATAACTAGAAGACGTGGGCTTGCCCCAGGTCTCATAACTAGAAGACATGGGCTTGCCCCAGGTCTCATAACTAGAAGACATGGGCTTGCCCCAGGTCTCATAACTAGAAGACGTGGGCTTGCCCCAGGTCTCATAACTAGAAGACATGGGCTTGCCCCAGGTCTCATAACTAGAAGACATGGGCTTGCCCCAGGTCTCATAACTAGAAGACATGGGCTTGCTCCAGGTCTCATAACTAGAAGCATTCGAGCCGCTTTCACCTGGCTTCCAGGCTTCGCGCTGCCAGTAAAGCTGGTTATAGCAGTTCTTCACCCTAGTGAAGACTACTACATGCAAAGACAGGGAAACCATGTCATTGCCTGCATTAGTGTAACTTAAATCCTTAGTTTTTTCATATGGAATAAGGAAAAGGTACATTGAAAAGTTTTGGTTCAGATGATAGATTGAAGTAGACATATGAGCAAAGCTCAAAGTTATTATCATTTCAGATTGTAGTTTCTATGTCACAGTGGCTTTATGGGGTAGTCAAGAGAAAGAGCTTGTTGTTGTTTTAAATAATCATTCCCAAAATTCCAAATTTTGTGGAAAGAACTATAGGATTATAAACCTGAATGTATATTTAGCTCCTAACTACGGACCTAATTAAAAATAAGCCTGTGGTAGATAGGTAATAAAAACACATGACAAAACATTAGCGATGTAGGGTCTAGGTATGTGTGCGTGCTATCAGTTTAATATTTTCATTATTATTTTGTGTCTGGCTGGTGATGATAGAAAGTTGGAACTAGAAAGATACTCGATTTTCATCATCTCTGTTGCTGTCTGTTCATTTATGCTTTATTCATGTAATAGACGAGTCATGTAACTTTGTTGAAATTGTTACAGGTGCCAGAGTGGTACAGTTCGAACAAACTGCTTGGATTGTCTTGATAGAACAAACAGTGTGCAGGCATTTCTTGGCTTAGAGGTAAAAAAAAAAAATTAATGCTTATGCCATATGTATCCTGAGTGCTCGTGTAAACTTCCGTTTCTCAGTTGTATAAAGTAACGAAGCTAGGCCTTACTGGAGACTCGGTGCCCTTCCCCTCAAACCTTGTGACTCCACAGTTCCCTTCCTCTCTCTCCATTCCTCATAGCTGCCTCACACTCCTTGTAGACACCCGCGTGTGTATTGGAGGAACCATTGCTTTCTTGGCCTTTCTCTTGAAACAGTATGCATGAATTTAAACTTTCTGTTGATGCTTTCAAGGTTTTATTTTAGAATGTTGAGAATCTGTTTATACATCTGTGTTCCTATTGGGTTATATTTTTGATAGTTTGCAGCTCAATCTAGGTGGGCATTATCAAGTCAGAAGCTTCAGATTTTAATTAATTAATTAGAAGTTCGTTAAAAATGCCATATCTAGTCAAAGTGAAAAATTACCAGGGTTTCCTTTAAGGCCTGTACTAGTTTTATTTTACTGTTATTCACCAAGCTCGGTCTAGAGCAGGCACAGTCTCAGCTACTTAGTAAACTGGAACAACAGCCAAGCTTTCCTGGGTCTCCCCTGCCCACTAAGTCAGGGTCACAAGGAGGCCATGGATTCGCTTTGCATCAGGACTTGGTTTCCAAGCACTCCAAAGACTCTCTGGCTAATGATCTTAAGTTTGGCCTGTGCATTAGTTAATTAGTTACAGAAGCTCAACTTCTGTCTCAAGTAAAAGTCCAGTTGTAGAAGGTTCTCTAGGGCACAGATGTTTTATATAAGTAAATAAATTTTACTGTTTTGACTTTTTTTTGAAACCAATCATTGACATTTATCTTACTTTTCTTAAAATATGACACATGAGATGTGAAAGAAGGCAGGTCGTATTTAGATGAGGTCACCTGGCTTAGGTCTGCTCGAAGCCTTGGCTGTCGTTGACTGGATCTACCCAAGCGCAGTGAAGGTTTTAGACCTAACTACAAGCGTCATTTCCAGTCTGTCTTAGCTGACTCTCACTATTGGAAATGTGACGTGAGAGTGTGCCCCACTGTCACATTTGGTTAACTGCTTACAAAATTTATTGCTAACTTAGACAAGCTAATAATGCAGTGAAGTTTTGTTTTTCCCACTTCTTCAAAGACTGAAAGGTCTAAGGTATAAAGGAGACCCTGGGGGCTATTTTATGCCCCATGTGAACACAGAGTAACTCTAGCATAAGCCCAAATAATCAAATGAGCCCACTGAGGGGCTTTATATACTTCTAAATCTTTTGTAATTAGAGATAATTGCTACACCTAATAGAGATGGAGGAAGCAAGTAGGAAGGAGTTCAGTAGACGCAGGCATCAGTCAGAGGAACAGACATGGCTTCCCGGCTGCTCAAGTCCAGGCTAGAGTCCGGAGAGTAAAGATCAGTAGCTTGTGGAATGCTTTTATTGCCTTCCAGGGTGGAGGGTTTGTTGTCCAAAGGCCCTTGAAATTGGGCCCTTGGCTCCCCACTGTTGTTCTAGACATGGCATCAGCATTGCCTCCACACAGGAAAGCTGCCATGGCTTTCTCACTGCCCGTCTTCTCTTGCTCACCCACACTTAATTCCCTGAGTTTCCAGAATGAAGTCCAAACTACAGAGGTAGAGCATATGCTTAGGTGAACTCATGACGTAGTTCCCTGCTCTCCTGCCTACTGGGGACTAGCTTGATTTCCAGTGAGGGAGGCAAGTTGATCTAACTGCAGGGATGGCTACAAGATTAATTGAGGGACATTACTTCTCGGATTTCCAAATTCACATTCTCTTTTGAATCTATGGAAATGACATTTTACCTTAAAACTACAAGTTTTACCTTAAAAATTGAAATGGTGGTAAACATATCCCAATAAGGTGTTAATACTTTCAAAGTCCTATATTTATAAATTTTAAGTTTAATTCTAATAGTTGTAAAAAGTCACATTACAGTGAATGTACATTTAAATAGAAATAATGTAATTATATGCAAATATATTTATTCATTTACCTTAAATATTCTCATTTGTCCTTTCAGATGCTAACTAAACAGCTGGATGCTCTGGGCTTGGCTGAAAAGCCTCAGCTGGTCACTCGCTTCCAAGAGGTTTTCCGGTCCATGTGGTCTGTGAATGGTGATTCCATCAGTAAGATCTATGCAGGCACCGGAGCCCTTGAAGGGAAGGCCAAGGTAGAGCCATAGCTGTCATAGCATTAATTTCACCTCTCTCCTCTCTAGAAAGTTTTGAAATGACATTTTAAATGATGGGTTTTTAAGTTAACAGGCGTGTTCTAGGATTGCCTCCTAACGCTTCTGTGTCCCCTCTGATACACCCTCCCTCGGTTGTCGACTCTGATGTTGGCTAAATGCAGCATAGGGAATTCTTTAGTCCTCAGGCTTACGTGTACTTTTAGAGGTAATCCATTGTAGATGTATGTGTGTGTGTGTATAATTTTATATGACTTAATATTGTGCATCTCTCTTTTTACATTGTTTATATTGATTCTAAAAAAATCCATAGTCCTGATAAAGTATCCTGTCTCATCAGTCTTTGTGTCCCCTTTATTTGACACAGTGCTTCTATTGAGAGGTATGTCACAAATAGTGGATGGACATACAGTCTGTCACCGATTTAGGCAAGCAGAGTAATGAACCTGGTATACGTGGGCTTAATCGCTAGTTTTGTACTTTCTGCTTATGTGTTTTAAAAGGGAGCTATCATTGCAGTAAAGGTAGGAATGTGAACTTATTTATGATGCTGTCTCACCAGCACTTATAACTGCTTGTGTTAGCTTCAGGGTTCTTTCCTGCCTGGTACTTGGCCTTTGTTGTAGGATTTGGGGCTATATTTGGAATATGTTTTGTGATTCCATTGTAGCGGCGTAAATAAAGGCAGACAGAAATTATAATAATATATTCAGCTTTAATTGGGAAAAGACTTACAGAACCCGAGGTTCCAGCGGAGAACAGGAAAGCAAAAGGGAAGGGGGAGAGCACACCAGCAATATTTATTAGTAAAAAATATCCTCAGGTGACCCCGCCCTACAAGCAAGGTGATTGGCTGGGGCTACCCCTACATTCCATGTACTTAAATATTGTTTAACTCTTTAAGGAACCCTGGCCTTAATTTAATTTATTCAAAATCTCTACAATTCCTCAAATTATATCTGGATAAAAATGAGAACATTTAGCTAAGCATGGTGTTTCATACCTATAATCCCAGGATTAGAAAGGTTGAGAGAGGAGGATTGTAGCAAGTTCAAGACCAACCTACGCTATATATTGAGTAGCAGGCCTGACAAAACCCAGTTTAAAACAAAACAAACCACCAAAACAGTCAACAAAAAGAGAAAATGTTAGCTGTGTTAATGGTCTCACGAGTAGCAGCATAGCAGCTGAGGTTCCATGAAGACTGTTCATCATCTCAAGTCTTTATGTTCAGTCTGCCTCTGCTGCAAGTACTGGCCTCACCTTCATCCCTCAGCAATGTTACAGACCCTCGCCCCTAAACACTGCTTTCTTTTGAAAACCTGAAATTGCTTGATTTTTCATTTATTCCTTTTAAATAGCATATTTCTTATTATTAAAACCCGATTCTCAACTGTCGCTCTAAAATATTCTTCTATGTGCTTCTGCCGTGTTTCTGCTGTGATTGGGACTGTATATGTGCAGACATTGCACATATTTTCAGTATTCTTATCTTTACCATAATATATAGATACAAAATCTTTATATATTAATGTTAAATATACTAGTCTGAATTGAGCTAAAATCTAACACCTGAACTGCTCTTTGTTTTCCTTTCTCTTGGCTCCTTTTGATTAATTGCTGATAATGTGAATGGTGAGTGTTCTTTCTTCGATAGCATCGTTTTATATATTACATGATGATAATGATTTCATGCCATATTGCATTTAGAGGCACATTAGAAATTGTCTCCTTATTTTGAAAAGCAGCCTGTAATTACTATTTTTTTTGAAGGAATGAAAGAAAATAATACATTACAAACGAAAAATTATTTTTGGCAGTCAAAAGTTTATAGGCTTAAAATAAATATTATCTGATAATATGCCTAAGTGAAATACCTGTTCATTAAAAGTTGTGATCAGCCCTCTCAGTATTAGAATAGGTATTTATTTTTTAGACTTATTTGTATAGGCAACACAATGTCTTTAATATATAAACTAAAATTTATGTATTTATATTTATGAAATGTAAAAAATTATTTAACTGGACTGGAGAGATGGCTCAGTGGTTAAGAGCACTGGCTGCTCTTCCAGAGGTCCTGAGTTCAATTCCCAGCAACCACATGGTGGCTCACAACCATCTGTACTGAGATCTGGCGCCCTGCTGTGGCATGCGGGCATACATCAAAGCAAAATGTTGTATACGTAATAAATAAATAAATCTTAAAAAATAAAAATAAAAAAATTATTTAACTAGACCTTCAATTTTAGGTTCAGTTTTGTTTTTAACTAGCCTTGAATTATTGGGGAGCAATTTCACTTTTATAAATCAAAACACTTAGAAGGTTTTCTAGGAGTTGAGTTCAGTATATCATTCTTTTTCCCTCCTTCCTTTTCTCATCTAGCCCATCGTAACATTTAAAAGTTACGATGTAGAAAGGAATCGTCTTAATTCAGATAAATATGTGATGATGTATTTACTGCTCAATATATTACTAGATGGGCTGTAGTGGTTAGTTTATTATTTTCTTTGTGCAAACTATGAGGGAACAGTTACATTTTAAAGCCTTTTAATGTAGTTATAGATTTAAAAGATAAGTTATTTAAAAGATAAAATACTAGAATTTTATGGAATCAATTTAAAATTGCAAAATACACATTGGATAAATCAGCAGTATCTTGAGCAAGGGCCCATGCTCCTTTCTTCCACACAGGCTGGAAAGTTAAAAGATGGTGCGCGCTCTGTCACCAGAACCATTCAGAATAACTTCTTCGACAGCTCCAAGCAAGAAGCTATTGATGTCTTGCTGCTCGGAAATACTCTGAACAGTGACTTAGCTGACAAAGCCCGAGCCCTTCTAACCACTGGAAGTTTGCGTGGTATGCCACTTAATACTTTCCTTACTTTGTTTATACTCCTAAAATGTCCAGAAAGTAAATCTAAACTAACTGACATGAGAAGTTTTTAGGCTGTCATTGGTTTACTTGAAATCATTTTGGAAGGAATCTCTGTACAAGTGTTTTTTTGAAATAGCATTCTCTAGTTAAGATTTTCTCTTGTCACGTGTTAATGCTATCGATGATACTTAGCCACAAACTGGCTGGATTTTGTTTTTGGTTTTTTTTTTTCTGAACACTGTGTGTACTTTCTTTTGCAGATTATAACTGGGGCTTTTTGTGCTATATGTGCTGCTAACGACACAAGGCAGGCTTCTCTAGACTAAAAGCTAGCACTTACAGCATTCAGTAATCCAGTTACATAGGCAGGGCTTTACAGAGACAACCCTTTATCTGTACTGGTTAATTTTTCATGAACACCACAGATATTTCTGTAACCACATCCTGACTTTGGTTGTTATTGTCTGGATCAGCTTACGTCATAGTAACAGTTTAAAGCAGTAGCCACTAACTGCTATTTTCTGTCTTGGTACTTGACATAAATATATAGCCTTCAGAGTAGCCTTTTTCCCCATGGTGGCTTTTTCCCTTTTGTTGTATATTTTTTTACTAATGTCAGAAGATGTGAACTTTTCATGTTAATGAGTACCTAAAAGCAGTATTATGAGGAAATTCAACATTCCTTGTGCATGTAATAGGCGAGACCTCCTGCCCCTTGCCAGCTTTATTGAGGAGTAGTTGACAAGTTGAATTAGATTCCTAGTTCTGTTCTTTTTAGCCCCAAACCTTGCAACACACAGTCTCCACATGGGAAATTTCCTATAGTTTACAAGGAATTTCCGGTAATATCCTCTTGGGACTGTCCCTGTGGGTGATTGTGGACTGTCAGATTTCATGACAAGCAGCTACTCAGGAATGGATGAGCAGCATGGGGCTGGGACCTACTCAGAACTGAAAAGTCTGATGCTCACTACGTCTTTGAACTTCAGACTTGACTTCTTCCTGGCTCCCACCAGTCGAGACTGGCTGACTGTGTTTGTCACCTCTTTCCACCGTGCCTGCTCTGATGCGGAGGCATTAATAAGCAGCAGTTGAAAGGAAGTGTGTGAAGGAAGAGGCGCAGCAAAGAACCTCAGTAACTCCCCAGGCTAAGCCTCAGGTGTCTAGGTTCCTGCCCATCTCACCATGTGTAATGTGCCTCTCAAAAGTAGTCGGTCCACTGCCATGCTCGGTGTGAGACTGAGAACTGTTCCAGTGTGGTTGACACATTAGGTAATGATGTGAACATGATGCTAATTTTGCATGAGCTTATGCGTGACTTTGCTGGCAAGTGACATCAGGCAAATGCAGAAAACTACCCAGCAGAAGCAATATGGGTCCAGATAAATAAAACATACATAGCCATATGCACAAACCTTAAACATATCCCTTCTGCAGTTCAAACATGTGTTTTGAACCATACCCACCCACATCTGATATTTCAGCTTCCCATCCATTTTCTAATAACCCTTCAGCTACCATTCATAATTGTTATGCCCCTCTGATGCCCATTTCTACAAGCCAACTTCATATTTTTTAAAGATGTAGTGCCTTACATTATATAGTCATGAATTTTACCATTTTACATACACATACTATGCTGCTTTTAAAATTAGGTTCTTCTTTGGTGTGTCACTTTTGATGTTTTCATGTGTGATTCCCCCAACCCCAATTTTCCCATGAGCTTTTAGAGCCACGGAACTTTGCAGAGTTTTATATAGTGTAGTTGGTGCTTTTAGAACACACTTGTCTTGTTTTAGCTGAACTGATGGTACTTATCGACTGGTGGGTCCCAGAAAAAGAATATTAAAAGTTATGTATTAAGACATACATCTCCATGTCTTAGATTTTCATACCCATAAACACACACCCACATGCACATATGCACACACAATCATCTGGAAGAGGAGGACCTTCACGTTGTGAAGCAGTGGACCTCACTGGGTCAGGGCAGACACATGGGTTTGTATCAGCTATTGTTATTTATTGTGTTTGGTGTTATAGCTTCAAAAAAACAAATTCGAGCTGTCAACATGAAAGAAATGAGTAAGGCCATCTCAGGATTTTCTTAGGTGACACGCCAGGCATTAAATGTAACTTGTTGTTTTACTAATGATTTTTTGTTTTCTTCTTGATGCATCCATAGTTTCTGAACAGACATTACAGTCAGGTACAGTATAGAAAAATCAATGTATAAATAAAAGCATCCTTTATTTTTCTAAAGCTAATGTGCACATACAGATATAATTTTATCTTCATGATATTACAGGATAAATTAATGTTTTGTTTTACTCTGAGTAAAAAAATTTAAATGGGCAGAGATTAAGTACTTTATTTAGGAAGAAATGTCCTGGATATTTTGTCCTTCTGCATCACAGGCTTACGGCAGTGAAAGCAAATTCAGCTAGATTAAATCACTTTATATTTCCGTGAACGTTCTCATTAGACCCTGCTCTTCAGAGACTGCAGGACCAGTTCTGAACTGGACTGTTTTGCACTGGTTCAGATAGTGCTCGTGCTGTTTCTAACCTCTCAGCACTCCTTCTCTTGCTTGTGGATGGCTGTTTTCTTTAACTACAGACCTGCACTAAGATGAAATCTGAGACCTCTTCACTTTAGCCAGCGTCAGGGCTGTGCGCCAAGTCAGAGCAGGTGCATTGGTAGTGCTTAAGGCAGTTCCCCTTTTCCTTGCCTGTGTGTTCATAGGAATTTCATCTCTTCATTCTCTGTGGCTTATGGTCTTGTCTTTAAAGGTGAATCTGTAGCAAACAGGACAAAGCAAAAGTCTTTCCAGAAATTTAGCTGAAATAGTGTCTTCTCTTCCCCTTCTTAGGGTGTTTTGCCTGGTTACCATTGTGGCTCTTCTGAGAAACTGCTGCTTGTTTGTTTTAAAGGAAAGTGGGAGGGAGCACAGGCTCTGGGTTATAGTGAGCATCACTTCTGTAAGGGTATGGTGTTAGAGACAGACATCTGTGGCTTTAACAGACTCATTTCTTTAAGCACATTAAGGTGCCAGAACATGTTAAGGATAAACTAGGATTATGCTTTACCTTCTTACTCTATTTATAAAGTGATTCGACCTTGTTAATTCAAGCAAGATGGCAGCCTGGCTTTATTCACATGTCGTTACTGTTTTGCTCAATTCTTTAAGCTGTACAATCACAGAATTGACATCTTGGCATTGAGTGGATTTTAATGGGGTTTTCATAGTGACAGTGACTTTAGTTTAAAATTCAGTGATATCCATAATAATATGGAAATGGTAGCTGTATTGACAGAACAGAAAAAAATGACCTGCTTTTATCATCACCCAGTCATCTCTATAAATAATCAAACCAGATAGGAAGAGGTTTAGAAATGTACACATCTTCTCTCAAGACAGTGGGTGTAACGAGTCTTTCTCTGTCCCACCAGCTGGTTCCCAAATAATGACATGGAGACTTATTAATTATGAAAGCTCAGCCTTATCTCAGGCTTGTTCCACGATCTCTTTAACTTAAATTAACTCATTTATATTAATCTATGTTTTACCTAGTGGCTCTTTACCTTATCTCCTTACTACCCATCCTACTTCCTTCGTGCCTTTTGCTTCTGAGCACCTAGATTCCTCCTCCTCTTTCTCTTTCTGCCCAGAAGTCCTGCCTATACCTCCAACCTAGCTATTGGCTGTTCAGCTCTTTATTAAACCAGTCACAGCAATATATCTTCACGTAGTGTACAGCTGTCCCACAACAATGCAGACATGGTTACCATCCAAATAAATCTTCAGTTCCTTCCAGGGACTCAGAGGTCAAGACTATGTTCACGATACTGACATTTTACTTTTCCCAGTCCCAGTTGCTCAGAGTACTGTTAGTTTTGGATATCATAAAATAATAGCTAACATACTGAAGTGATATTATTTGGTAAAATATGGAAGATTATGTGAAAATAAGCAAGGGTGACAGTGGTCCCCGAAGGCATAGTACAGTTTTAACTAAGGGGATCAGAGGAGCTTGTTGAACAGTAAAGAGCTGAAGAAGGAAGGGATGGCCATTGCAGGCTGTGAGAAGTGCAGTCTGGCTGCTTTGTCATGCCTGATAAGAAAGCACGGCTGAGTGGTTAGTGAGCAGAATGGTCAAAGATGGGGACAGAAAGACCAGAGCCCCCTGCAGGTCACTGCTAAGCACTTGAGCTCTCAGCAAGGTGGGCAGCATTTGCATTTGGTAGTGATTTCATTTCAGCATCTCATTTTCTTTCCTAATACTCATTTTCGTGAGGGAGCCACTGTTCATCAAGCCTCCTGTCAGTAATGTGAATCTTAAATGTAGATGGTTTTAAGTGTCTTTGTTTAGGGAAAAACAACATTTATATTTTTACCACACTCTTAATAAAATTGTCTTATAAGTCAGTTGCTGTATTCCTAAAAAATATGGCTTTTAGGCTTTATGTATTATAAAACTGCATACCATTGAACCAGAACTGTTTCTCCTGCATGCTTTATGTTACTAAAGTCATTTTGTAGTAGTTTTTATGTTCAGTCTTTATTCATTGGCTCAGTGTGGTTAATGCCTCCGGCTGGGCTTGGCATTCAAAGCTGATTGATCTCTTCCTTGTGCCTGCGCATGCCCTTTATTTGTGCTTGTGACAATAATTGTATTTTCCAGATATCATCTATTAATGAATAACACCCTTGCAATTGGTTTACTGCAGCTAACATTCTCTTGCATCTTATTTTTGATTAGCATCTTCCAAAGTCTTAAAGAACATGTGTGAGAACTTCTACAAATACTCAAAACCCAAGAAGATTCGAGTGTGTGTTGGAACCTGGAACGTGAATGGTGGGAAGCAATTCCGCAGCATAGCATTTAAGAACCAGACGCTCACGGACTGGCTTCTTGATGCTCCCAAGTTAGCTGGCATCCAGGAGTTTCAAGGTTGGATTTTTATATCAGGGATTTAATAAAGTCCTAACTGCAGTGTGACACTTCACTAATTTAGCAAAGAAACTTGGGCTTCTTTTGTTAGTTTGAAAGCCAGCATTTCTTAGGTTAAATCTTAGGAAGTTTTACCTGAGCTGTTATTTCTAGACATTCTCTACTTAGTGAATAAACAGTGGTGGCGCTGGGTTTGGGGGCTTACACCTGTAATCCAGTCTTCTGAGACAGAGACAGGATTGCCCGAAGCTCTAGGCAAGCCTGGGCTACACAGTAAAATAAAAGTAATAGAAAATTTGAAATTTTTCTTTTGGCCAGTTTCTCAGAAAATCAGGATTCGTGTATAAATAGACGCCTGGAGGGCAGCACACATGCCAGAGAAACTACTTCTGTTTGTGTTTGAGCAGACAAGAGCCAGGGTTATTTTGTAGTTGATAGTTTAGTATTTTATTTTAAAGTCCGGAATGCTCCATTTTCCAGGGTGGGTCATGAGCAATTTTATAGAAATTGTAATAACTTGCTTGTAGAAGGGGCCTGGAGAGGTAGTTCAGAAAGAAAGGGACATATTGCTCTTTGATCATGGGGATCTGCACAGACATAATGCGCATGCGCCCACACAGGCACATAAGGAATAAATTAAAGATCCTCTGTCACCAAGTGTTCACAGCAGAACCTTCCACATCACGATGGTCATTAGAAACGGAAACTGAAGAATCAACTCAAACTTCCTTTAAAAATAGTATATAATTCCCAGTGTGAAGGTGCTATGTACAGGAAATTGTATGACTTGGAAATTTTCCTTTTTAAGTAATTTTTAATCAATCATGTCTTAGCTTTTGGAATTTCCCCCAGATATTTTATTAAAATTAGGCCCTTTTCAGTTACATTAATCCAAGAAATAGAATAAACATAAAACCATTATAATAGTTATGTTTTTTACATTTTTAATCTCATAGCAGACCCATTACAATGAGGCTGTTATTCCAGTTTCATGGAGGAAGAGCCTTAAATCTAGAAAGATCTTGCAGCCAGTGTGCCAGAGTCTGGAGCTGAGTTCTGTCCTTTGGATCCCAGCGTCTGTATGTCAGGCTGCATCATATGTGTGGTCTCTGGCAAGTTTCTAGCTCCCATAAAGCTCCTGTTCCCCATCTGTAGCAAAGGGCAAGAACTCTGCTTTACCATGTGTTGTGTGATGGTGAGAAGTCAAGGGTTTGAGTCTTGCACACAGTCCCAGCCAGTTAATAGTTGCAGTCTTGAGTCACTGTTTAGAGTGATTCCTTTAACTGCAGGATTGATTCCCTCAACCTCTGAAAAGTAGCCATTCCTGTTTACAGTGCTACATGTCTTGTTTTTAAGGGATTTTATTTAGTTCTTAAGGATCGTTAAAGTAATCTTAAACAGACTTAAGATATTTTAGTAGAAAGTAAATTTAAAGTAATGTAGCTCACTGCTTAATTTTTGTTTTTAATATAAATTTGGTTAAATTGAAAACACAAAAAGGTTTGTTTTTTGCGGGGGGGGGGTTGTTTGTTTGATTTTGTTTTTTATGGGTTTTTTGAGACAGGGTTTCTCTGTGTAGCCCTCGCTGTCCTGGAACTATCTCTTGTAGACCAACCAGGCTGGCCTTGGACTCACAGAGATCCATCTGCGTCTGCCTCCCAAGTGCTGGGATTAAAGTCCAGTGCCACCACCGCCCAGTTACAAAGAGATTTTTATGTCATCTGAGATTGTGTTTTATTGGGTGTGGTTGCTATTTGACCAATGCTATATTTAAAGATATTTTCGGATCCTTAATTATAGATAAAAGAAGTAAACCAACTGATATATTTGCAATTGGCTTTGAAGAAATGGTGGAGTTGAATGCTGGGAACATTGTGAATGCAAGGTAAGCTAGCTGATGAAGGCACTGGAGGACAGGTAAGGGGTTGTCACTATAGTGCTGCCATTGAGGAAACTTGCAAACGACCTTTAAACTATAAGTAGTATGAGAATCTTTCTAAATCTAAATTGATACTATATTAGAAATTAAGACTGAAAATTATACTTATTTTAAAAACAATAGGAGCAGACAAGATGGCTTTTCTCCAAATCTGATGACCTGAGTTTGATCCCTGAAACCAATATAAAAAGTAGAAGGAGGGGCTGGAGAGATGGCTCAGAGGTTAAGAGCACTGGCTGCTCTTCCAGAGGTCCTGAGTTCAATTCCCAGCAACCACATGGTGGCTCACGGCCATCTTTAATGAGATCTGGTGCTCTTCTGGCATGCAAGGAAGGAATGTGGTATACATAATAAATAAATAAAATCTTTTTTAAAAAAAGTAGAAGGAGCTGGGGAGTAGCACACATCTTTAATCTCAGCACTTGGAGGCAGAGGCAGGCAGATCTCTGTGAGTTCAAGGCCAGCCTGGTCTACAGAGCCAGTTCCAGGATAGGCTCCAAAGCTACTGTGAAACCCTGTCTTGAACTGTCCTGTCCCCCTCAAAAAAAAAAAAAAGGAGAGAGACCAAATCTACAAAGTTGTCTTTTGATCTCCACATGTGTACTGTAGTGTGCATGCCTTTGTACATACACATACACACAAAGAAATAACTTTTAAAATGAATACAGTAACAATAGAGATTCCATTATAGTTAAAATAAATGTCTTTTCTTCTTAACATTTCTAAATCCAAAGTTTACTGGGAAGCACGGCATTGTTTTATTGGTTTTTTACTAATTGCTTAATATCTGCATTAAGATAACTGGGTGGGTACCATATACTTCTTCATGTACTTCCATATTGTACTGCACTATTGTTCCGAGAGAATTATGTGAAGAAAAACTACATATATAGTCGGATAAAACACTTTAATAACCTTTCTAGAAAATGTCTCCTCTGCCAGGTACTACATAGAAACTCAACAAGTGGTAGTTAAAGGTTACCTGGTAACCTTGAAACCTTGTTGTGAACTTTAAAAAAAGATATAGTCATCTGTATGTGTATGAGTGTTTAGCCTGCATGTTTGTAAGTGTCCCTCGTGCAGACACTAACTGCAAGAGATCAGAAGAAGGCATCAGCTTCTCATAAAACTGGAGTTACAGATGGTTGTGAGCCACCCTCTGGGTGCTGGGAACTGCACATGGGTGCCTTGCAGGAGTCGCCAGTCCTCTTTACTGTGAGCCGCCGCTCCCGCACTGACGAGTGGGCTGCTTGTGTTGTCACTGTACTAACACCAGCTGGTCTTTACCATGGCGTGACCGTATAACACTGCGTGCTGGTCATTCACAAAAGCTTACTGACTATATAGGTCTTCTAGTTCTGATACATTTGTCTGGTATGAATGTACTGTTTTGGTTGGGATCATCAATGATTATTTCAACAAAATCTTTAAATATTTAGAAACTGCAAAGATCACAGTAGCTAATACAAATTTTACAAAATTCTTAGCCTTTACTTAAAATGCAAGTTTTGGGCCAATAAATAGCCAGTTGTTTAATCACATTCCTATACCACTCAACATAAAGAAATATAAAGAGACAAGGTAAGACATCACAAGAACACCTTAGCCACATGTAGACAGCTGTCATTTTATACACTAGTGGTCTGGTTGTTGTTGTTGTTTTTGTTTGTTTGTTTGTTTTTTGTTTTTGTTTTTGGTTGCCATTATAAAAGCAAAGTGACAAGGACATTGGAGGACTAAGAGCGGGTGAGAGGTATGACCATATGCATTGTAGAAACCATATTTGTCCTGTTCTAAGAAACAAGTAATGGCAAGACTTTCATTATTAGGAAACAAGGGAAGTTTAAATACTAGCTGAGTGTTAAGGGATATTAAGGAAGTATTACTGTTTAAATTGATGATGGTATTGTGGTTATGTAGATAAAAATGTTCATTGTATTTAAGATACAAAAGTAATTATGAGTGAAATGGTGTAATCTTAGATTTGGTCTACAATATCCCTGGTTTATAAGAAAGAGGGAGGGAGAGAGAGAGATTTTGAAGCTAAATAATTGTGTATATTGTGACTTTACAGTTACCTATTTCAGGTTTTTTAACTTGTTTTCCATAACAAATTATTGAAAAGAATTTTTTTTTAAAAAAAATTAGCTTAAGGGACTGGAAAGATAAGTTATCAGTTAAGATTTTTTGCTGTTCTTCTAGAAAAACAGAGTTCAGTTTCCAGCACCCACATAGGGTGGCTCACAACAGCCTGCACCTCAGTCTCCAGGAGTTCTGATCCTTTCTCTGTCCTCTTTGAGTGCCTACACATACTGACATACTCTTACACACACGAGTAGTTGTTAATTAATAAACTTAAATTCATGACTAGAAAACTGGAGTTGGGGGAGATGCAGTGATATGGAGAGGGGTCTGCATCTCCGTGAGCCCAGGAACACTTGAGACGGAAGTGTCATTTCCTATCTCCTTTGTTTTCTTTCTTGGTAGGTTTTTTTTTCTTTCATTTTAGCATCTGTGTGTTGTGTGTGTGCAAAGGCACACATGTGCAGTGGCGTACATGCAGAGGTCAGAGGGTAACTTCAGGGTCAGTCCTCCTTCCCCAAAAGTCATGGGGATTGAACTCAGGTCGTCAGGGTTGGCAGTGGCACCTTTACATGGTAAGTCAGCTCTCCTCATAGAGGAGTTCTTCAGTAGATTTTGAAATGCTATATTATTTTGGTTAAGCTTCAGATTTTTCTTTTTAACGGAAGCAAAACATGCATGAGATTTTCTTCTTTTTAAGAAATCAGATGTATAAAAATTTCCTCTTTGATACTTGGGTAGCACAACAAACCAGAAGCTATGGGCAGTGGAGCTGCAGAAGACCATCTCCAGAGACAACAAGTACGTCCTGCTGGCTTCGGAGCAGCTGGTGGGTGTCTGCCTGTTTGTTTTTATCAGACCACAGCATGCTCCTTTTATCAGGTTAGTAACAGACACTTGGCTGTGGCTTTTCTCACTGAATGACAAGGACAGCCCTAGAGTGTGTGATGTCATCTCTTTCTTTGTAATTATGTTTTAAAGGGACGTTGCGGTGGATACAGTGAAGACGGGAATGGGAGGCGCAACTGGAAATAAGGGAGCAGTTGCGATCCGCATGCTCTTCCACACCACCAGCCTGTGCTTCGTCTGCAGCCACTTTGCTGCAGGGCAGTCTCAAGTCAAAGAGAGAAATGAAGATTTTGTAGAAATAGCACGGAAATTGAGTTTTCCCATGGTAAGCTTCTACTGTTTATTCTTTAAGATAAACCTTTGGATTCTATTTTAATTTACCCTACATTTTATGTCACCAGTTCTGAAGATTTAAAGCAGTTCTCAGAAACATCAGCAGTGCCCATCTACTTGGCTCAAGAAACAGTGGTGACAGTGGCAGGCACATCTGAAGCAAAGCAATAATGTGAACAAATTAAACTGTTGTTTTGAACTTCAAGTGCCATCTTGTGTTTCCAGGGAAGGATGCTGTTTTCCCATGACTATGTATTTTGGTGTGGTGATTTCAACTATCGAATTGATCTTCCTAATGAAGAAGTTAAAGAGCTCATAAGACAGCAAAATTGGGATTCTCTTATAGCTGGGGATCAACTCATCAATCAGAAAAATGCGGGGCAGGTAAGAACATACTGGGAAGATGGTTGTGTTACAAAGGGGACTTTTGGAAGGCTCAAGAGATGATGGCTCAGCAGCTATGTGAACTTCTGCCCTTGCAGACAATACCTGGTGCCCACACACTGAGAGCTCACACCACTTGTAATTGTCCAATGTTCTCTTCTGGCCTTTGCAGGCAGGCAGCTGCCCATTACATGGCGTACAAGTAGAAAGGTAGACATAAACAGATGCACAGAAATAAAAAGAAATGTAAGATTTTCTTCTTAAATAAAAAGAAAGATGGGGCTGGAGAGATGGCTCGGAGGTTAAGAGCATTGCCTGCTCTTCCAAAGGTCCTGAGTTCAATTCCCAGCAACCACATGGTGGCTCACAACCATCTGTAATGGGGTCTAGTGCCCTCCTCTGGCCTGCAGGCATACACACAGAATATTGTATAAATAATAAATAAATAAATATTTAAAAAAAATAAAATAAAAATAAAAAGAAAGAAAGTAAAAAGATTGGGGGGCCAGAGAGATGGGTTGGGGGTTTAAATCACTTTCCATGTAATCCTGAAGATCCAAATTTGCTCTCCAGAACCTACACACAAAGCCCCAGGTGAAAACCCTGGTGCAGTGGCATGCACCTGTAACCGCGGGTAGATAGGAGGTAGATACAGGAGAATCAGCCAGTTGCAGAAGCTTGTGGAACAGCCAGCCTGGGGTATACTGCACTGGACACCAAGATACGTCCTGTCTCAGTGAGTGAAGGGTGAGAACCAACTCCACATGTGTCCACACATGCCCTGCTCACTCAACATACACATAAAATTACAAGCATGCAATAAATAAAAATTGTAAAAGACTATGAATTTTGACAAACATATTTCTTATTCTGTTTCTGTGTTTATTGGGAACTGTACCTGTGGCTAAACACACAGAATTATTTTTTTCTTGAAAGAATGAAAGATTAGAAATAAGAAAGGAGGGGGAAGAGAAAATTTTTAAAAAGTATATAATTATTCCTAGGAAGAAAAATACATCCATGTGTTTATAAGCTGTGCTTTCAAACAGAAGGCTTAAAATTTTTAGGGAATGATTAATGGAAGGCTAAGTGATAGCAAAAAGGTCACATGCTGTGGTTGGGGGCTGTTGTTGTTACTCAGTTCTGTTAGAATTTTTCACTGGATAGATAGATACTTTGTAGGCGACTATTCAACACATAAAAATAAAAGTGTAAGACTAGAGAGATGGCTCCGTGGTTAAGAACTCTTGCTGTTCTATCAAATGACCCTGGTACAAAGCCCAGTTCTGGCTCCATGGACACCTGCACACACATGCAGACACACAGACATCTTAGGTCAATTCCCAGTACCAACAGACTTAGGTTGCTCTCAGCCTTGGTGCTGCTTCTTCCAGTGTCGGCAGTCAGTAGGAAGATGCGTAACTGCCACAGTGCAGAGAATAAGACACTGAGTGTTCATCCTAGATCACACATGTTAATTCAAGGACACAGCTGTGCCATTCATGAACTCAGAAGCTGTAGCTGCCTGCACAAAACGTAACATTGCACACTTTACGGGTGAGCCATTGACAGTTGATCGTTGCCAGGGGCATTACTTTTCTGAGGATATGGTGTGAGCACCACCGGTAGGTGTCCCTTGCTTTAGTGCCGTGGTTCTCAACCTGTGGATTGTGACCCTTTCACAGAGGTCACCTAAGACCACTGGAAAACTCATATATTTACATTATGATTTATAACAGTAGCAAAATTACAGTTATAAAGTAGCAGCAAAAATAATTTCATGGTTAGGGTCGCTACAACATGAGGAACTGTATTAAAGGGCCGCAGCATTCGGAAGGTTGAGAGCCACTGCTCTATGAATGGCTCTATCCTCATGCACATATGTATAACACTAATTGGAGTTAGTGAGTCATCAAAAGAAGAAGAATATGTGATGTTGAGAGGAATGAGGGAGAGTTGGAGGGGAGAAATAGAGGGTGAATATGGTCGGATTTCATTACATACATGGAGCCTCCAAAATGAAGAAATTTTTTAAACTTCTGAGTAAACACATGAACATTTATGTGTTTTGGAATAAATTTGTGTGTGTTTATTTTAGATTTTCAGAGGATTTTTAGAGGGAAAGGTGACATTTGCTCCAACCTATAAATATGACTTGTTTTCTGAAGACTATGACACCAGCGAGAAGTGCCGCACGCCTGCGTGGACAGACCGAGTCCTCTGGAGGAGGAGAAAGTGGCCTTTTGACAGATCAGGTAAGGAGCGGACTTGCTTACACAGGGAAATTCATGTGAATTTGTGAAGGGCAGAGTGAGAAACACTGATCAACAATAAGAGCTTTTTATACAAAGGTTTTCTAGCATAGAATAAACATTTTAAAAGCATTTCATGCCAATTTTTTCAGTGACATAATTTCATGTAAAGCGAAATGAAGAAACATTTATTTTGTAAAATTTCTGATTGCAGTTCTGAAATTGAAGGTTTTGAATTATGCTTGGCTATTGAACTTTTATGAAACAGTGTTTGGTCCCAGGTCCCAAGTAATCTTAGAAGTGAGCAACATTGAGGTTTTTCCCAAGTGAAGAAGAAAATAACGTGACAAATACATCCCTAAAGACCTCTCTGGACTCCCTTCTTCCAGGGTTTGGCACTTTAGCCTCAGACTGCTGCAGATTGGACCAGGAAGTGAGAGCTCATTTGTGTCCTACTACCGCTCCTGTTCATGTGGCTTCTCTTGATTTTCTTTTATTCTGATCGCAGCTGAAGACTTGGATCTTCTGAATGCTAGTTTCCAAGATGAAAGCAAAATCCTTTACACATGGACCCCTGGTACTTTGCTGCACTACGGGAGAGCCGAGCTGAAGACTTCTGACCATAGGTTTACAGTCTCAGCTTTTAATGATGCATGAAGTTTGTTTGAAATAAATTCCTTCAGAAGCATCTCTAATGCATCTCTCTACCTCTGTGTCTAAAGGCCTGTCGTCGCCCTGATTGATATAGATATATTTGAAGTTGAAGCTGAAGAGAGACAAAAAATTTATAAAGAAGTCATTGCTGTCCAGGGGCCACCAGATGGCACAGTGCTGGTCTCAATCAAAAGTTCTGCACAAGAAAACACTTTTTTTGATGATGCTTTGATTGACGAGCTTCTGCAGCAGTTTGCACATTTTGGTGAAGTCATACTCATTAGGTGAGTGAGGCGTCTGACCATACTGCAAACCCTAATCTAGTGACTGACCAGTGTGTAAGTGGGACATTTCCGAATGAAAGGGCTATACTTGGGGTGTTATTCAAGAGCTCCTAGGTTTTCAAAGTAAGTTCTCAACTTAGAAAACTTAAAATGAATAATGAAGCTTCTCCATGAACAATTGAAGACAAAGGTATGCTTGAGCTCAGGAATGCCCTCGTCGGGTTCCTCTCCAGCAGCACTGTAGCGAGCTCTGGGAGAGAGCAGAGCTGGGGGAGTAATGTGGTGTTTGCAGGAGAGAGAAGGTAAAGAGACTGTACCCCAGCATTCAAGAGGCTGAGGCAGGAGGATCGTGAGTTGAAAGCCAGCAGACTACATAACGAATAAGTAAATAACGATCTTCAGTAAATAATAACCTGGAGGGACTTTTTTGTTACTCCCCAAGTTTAAGAAACATGATGTTTGAAGTTGTTACAAATGCCAGCAGAAGGGTGAGTTGTAGGAGCCATCCATTCCAGCCCCAGCCCCTGTCCTAAGGGGCTTCCTGCGGAGCCACCCAGTTTGGGGAAATTGAATTTCATGTAAATGAGTACTTGTTAATTTCTTTGTATGGTGTCCATCTGCTCGGGTGTGCTTTCTTTGTGTTCTAACCTCCATACTAGGTGCTGTAGAAGAGCGGAGGAGAAGGAAAAGATGTGGCATGTGCTTAGACTGGAAAAGTCGCTGGTCCATAGAATGAAGATAGGGTAGTTTCTGCAGAGGGGAACGCATGCCTGAGACACGAGCTCCTTCCAGGGAGCAGAGGGACGAACAGAAAGAAATTGTGTTTAGACTTCAGATCCTTTGATTTTTTTTCCCTACTCCTCCCCTAACATCTTTGAGAGAAATCTATATTAAATCTTCAAAATCTTATCAAATCTGAGCCTGAGAGCTGGCTTGGTAAACAGAGGTACTACCTGAGTCCGTCCCTGGGATCCATGTGAGGGTGGACGGAGACAGCCAACTCCACATGCATACCCTAGCAATAATGAGTTAGTTAGCTTCTAAAAGACTTAAAACAGCTCTAGAAAGTAAAATATCCCAGATTTCCAGATAACAGAAGGCCTTGCCAAGTATAGAAATGTCAGACTGTCGGAAACATCTGTGACTCTGAGTGGGCAGGGAGTAGCTTCATGAGCAAGTGGAAAGTGCAGCCTTGAGCTAGAAGGGTCTAAATGGTATGAGACAGAGAGACTTGTGCCATTCCAATTCCCTTGGTTCCTCTTAGTTCAGAATTGAAGCCAAAAGCCTTCCGTAGAGTATTGGCAACATTAGGGAAAGTGTTGATAAGAAAACCGGGTGTTACTGTGATATAAAGCTATGGGGTGTCTGGACACTTATGATATTATGTCGGCTTCACCAGTGATACCAAACTGCTAGAGAGAAACAGATGCTAAAAGTAAAGTAGAGGTGGATGTGGAGGTTACAGCTGTGGTCTTGTGCAGTTAGCAGAGAACAGATAATATTTGGAGCTCAGGACACGGGTACATCTAATAACAGTTTTACAGGGGGCTCCTCCATGGCCAACCGTTTGTAGTTACTTAGGTAAGAATACCATCCCTGTGTATTTCAAATGACAACATTCTTGAAACTTAAAAAATTCCTGTCAGAGAAGCAGAGTCAGATGTCTATGGTCATGTCTGAGTGATTATAAGATGTATCCCATGTGCTCCTGACTTCAGTACAGTAGTTTGGTACACTTTTATTTTGACCTTTTCTCCCCCCCCTTTTTTTAGAAAAAAAGAAAACAAACTATCTTTTTTCATTATACATATCAATCCAAGTTCCTTCTCCCTCCCCTCTTCCCATTTCTTCCTCCTACCCCCCTCACCCCACCCACCATCCACTCCTCAGAGAGGGTAAGGTACATTGCTTTGGGGAAGGTCCAAGGTCCTCCCTACTATATCTAGGCTGAGCAAGGCATCCATCCAAAGAGAATAGGTTCCCAAAAAGCCAGTACATGCAGTAGGGATAAATCCTGGTACCACTGCTAGTGGTCCCTCAGTCTGCCCCAGCCACATTCAGAGGGACTAGTTTGGTCCTATGCTTGTTCCTTCCCCATCCAGCTGGAGTTGATGCGCTCCCATTAGCTCAGGTAGACTGTTTCAGTGGGTGAACCCATCATGGTCTTGACCTCTTGGTTCATATTCTCACTCCTCCCACTCTTCAACTGGACTTTGGGAGCTCTGCTGCAGGTCTCTGCCTCTGTTTCCATCAGTTGCTGGATGCAGGTTCTGTGGTGATATTTAAGATATTCATCAGTCTGACTATAGGACAATGCCAGTTCAGATACACTCTCCTCTATTGCTTAGGGTCTTAGCTGGGCTCATCCTTGCTAGAGAAGCTAAGTAATAAGGTGAACTCTAAGAAAAACATATATAGATCCACCTGGAAAGTCAAAATAGACAGGATCACCTGACAAAATTGGGAACATAGGGGTGGGGGGAGAAGGGAGGGTGAAAGGGGAGGGCAAGGAGAACTTGAGGGAACAGGATAGTTGGGATGGAGGAAGGACAGAGATAAGAGCAAGGAAAGGGATACCTTGATTGAGGTGGCCAGTATGGGATTAGCAAGAAACCTGGCTCTAGAGAAAGGAATTGACCTTTTTTTTTTTCTTTTTTAAAATCCATAATCTTTTAGATTCTGAGCGTGAGACAAAAAGGCTTTCTCCATACAGTTGGGGAAGCTCAGTTTGCAAAATTGCTTTTGTAAATAAGATAGATAAACACTGTTTTATTCTTTGGTTATGAATCTCATCATATAACCAGTGACTCTTCAACGTGTCTCCTTGGTTTCATTTCTCTGCTTTTGGGCATTTCTTGTTTCCAAAGTATAGACTTGGAATCATAGCAAAGACCTAGAGAGAAAGACAGACTCCTAACCTGAAGCTCCTTGGGACCAATTAGTTATGTTGTTTGGAGTTTCTTTCTTTTTTTTTTTTTTTTTTTTTTTTTTTTGGTTCCCTGACCGGGAAAGGAATTGGAGTTTCTTTCTCATAAATAGTTCCTATTACCTTTCTCAGTCAAAGGAAATGACCTTCAGGAAAGTCATGGAAACAGTGATAATGCTTACTTAATACCTCACTGTGGAGTCAGGAGATGTAGCTTCTAACACAGGGTCGCCATGAATGAGGCCCCTTCTCCTGCCTGTTTTCCTCAAGGGGAAGGAAGCAAGAGGGAAGTGCTGTGTCAGAAGAGTGCCCTCCCCTGGGTGCCAGCCCAGTGGCTCTATGTTCTCTTCTTGGCCCCAGTTGTCCCTTAGGAGCCAGTGCCTAGAGATTGAGCTTAATTGTATTCTAATATATCACTTTTTTTTTCTTAAAGATTCGTAGAAGATAAAATGTGGGTAACATTTTTGGAGGGAAGCTCTGCCTTGAATGTTCTGAGCCTGAATGGTAAAGAGGTAAGGTAGATTTGATGATTCTAAACATTTGAAATGTCTGAAAATTATGTTTTTACAAGCATACTATGAGAGTGTCTAAATGTATTTTCAGTTAAGATAGAATACTGTGAACTGCATAAGGGTTACTTCATATTTTTATTTAAACTAGTTTTCTGCCTAACTTAAGGTTATTTTACTTTCTCCTTAGAGATATTAACCATTGACAGAAATGAAAAGGAAAGCATTTTCACTGCCTGATTTGATTTTACCATATTTAATGCAAAATATTTAAAAATTTTAGTTAAGGATAGATAGTCCAGCTCCTGTTGTCAAGTGGAGGACGTGCTTTGTTTACAAGAACCAGGGGCAGAAGGTCCTCATTATTTCCGAGGAATTACCTGGAAGCTAAGGAAAGGCTTTGCTCTCCCCTCTTCCGGCATGGATACGTAATTGCCACAGATGGCAAACACCACACTGTGGCACTTTCAGATGGAACAGCTGAGGGTGTTCTGAGCCTGTGATTTGAAATGTCACCGATGGGGAACTTAGACCAGTGACTTGTGAAAGGGTGCGTCTGTCCTGCGTTGCTAAGGATATGGTCAGTGGGTACACTAGACGGAACTCTGGGTTCAGTTTGTCCAGCAATGAGCTGCTCCCTCTGAAGTTTACCAGCTTTCTCTTGTCGTGTTACTTTTGCTTCCTTGAAGAAACATGTTTGCATGTTTACATTGCTTGAGTTTCTCTTGTTTTTATGTTTTGTTTTTTTAATGCAGTGCTAATGTATTCATGTCAAAATGAATGAATGAATTAAAGGGGAAAACAGAGAATGTAAGATAATAGATTTAGTTGACCCTTTTAGAAGCTAACATTTCTACACCTCTAATGTATTGCCTTTGTTAGAACCACTAATTTAACCCAATTTTTTTTCAGGAATTATCCAATTTCAGAGAAAAATCTGAAGAGGCTGGGCATGGTAGCACATACCTGTGATCCCAGCTCTTGGTAGGCTGAGGAAGGGGCCTTACTGAATTTTAGGCCAGCCTGGGCTACACAGTAAGACTGTGTCTCAAAAAACAAAAAGCAACACAAACACACACACACACATACAAACAACAAACAAATAATAAAAATAATTTTTAAAATATAATATTTGGTAAATATAGAAGATTTTTGTTGATTTTAAAAGATGATCTGTGAAATATGTAGGTAAATGATGAATTCAACTGAATTTAATACTTGAGTTTGATAAGCAAGTAAGAGATTTAAGCCCTCTGGCTTCAAAGCTCTGTTGCTATTAGACAAGCCATGAGTAGCTTTTGACCTCTGTGCCTTCAGGAATCCTGAGAGCAATAATCCTGGAATCTGTCCACAGAATTGCCCCTGTCCGCACAGTGTGTTGACCATAGCTACACAGGTCATTTATAAAATATTTATTAATATTTTAAAAGTTTAGTCTTCTTATCACTAAAGAACTCTTCAAACAAAAGAAAGTTGAAACTGTATAAAAGAGCTGGTAACTAGGAAGCTAGTCTGTTGTATAGTGTGGACTTTCAGTGAGACCTTTTCCTCTCTAGCATCTCCATGTCCTTGACAAAGGACTCTTATGCCCAAGAACAAAGTTTTAAAGAATTTAAAAACTACACCACAGTGTAGCTTGATTATAACATATTGGTGACTTTATGAAATCATATTTAGATCTAAAGCCACTTAAAAGCATAAGGAAAGCTGAAGACTTGCTTGGTAAGTGTCAGCCATTCTAGCTCCAGAACAGCTAATTTTTGTAGAAGATCTAAAGTAATCTTTACAACACAGCATTCTTCATACATGTGAAATGCTAAAGCCACAGGTTCGTGTAGCAGCATACAGTAGAGCGGCTCTCAGGGCCATCATGCCAGAGAAGAGAGGACCACGATAGCAAGTGTGTGTTCAAGGCCTCTGTCTCCCCTGCAGTTGTTTCCATTTAGTTTATGGGTCCAAACCGGAATTACACAATAGACTATCAGTAGTTTGTATTTAGCCAGGAAGAGATGCTAGCCAGAGAAAAGGAATCCTAATTACTTTTGCTTGACATCATAGGCTTTTATAGGCAGAATGGTGAAAGCCTGCACATGGGAGAATTTTAGTATGTGGGGAAGACTTTGTTTTGATTAGAATCCAACTAAACCATTGGTGCCATTGCATAAGGTAACATAGGCACCATTCTCCCATGTTAGTTTCTGTGTTACTAAACTTTTCTTCCACATCTTTTTTATGCCAACTAGTTATTAAATCGGACTATAACAATTACCTTAAAAAGTCCAGACTGGATCAAGAATTTGGAAGAAGAGATGAGTTTGGAGAAAATCAGTGTCACATTGCCCTCATCAACGAGCTCCACCCTGCTCGGTGAGGACGCAGAGCTCACAGCCGATTTCGACATGGAAGGTTCGTATGTTGACCAGACTTACTCTGTGTTGTTTGCACCCTCCCAGCACTGCCGACTTAGAGTCCAGTTTATCCCTCTCCTTATATCTCATTATATTAGTCTTGGGAACGCATATGCTGTTTTATCATTAAATAGTAAATACATTTGCATATTTTATTCTATATTGTATAATAAAAGCACAGGATGGTATTTTGTTTGTGCCAATAATTACAGTGAAGCATAAGTTCCAAATGATTCTTTTTACTGCTGAAATGAGTTCATAATAATTACTACAAAAGAAATGTTTCAAAGGAATTCAGAGAGAGTCCAAGTGACTAGGAATACATTCATGTGAAACTGAACCCATGCATAGAAAGGTATCTACTTAAGTTGAATTTTGGGACAAATTATCTGGGTGTTGTAGTTTTCTTGAACATTATTTGAAAATACATTTGCTTTCTAATACTATGTTATATGTGTGAGCATAGTTTTCATTAGGATATACTTTGTTTTTTGTTTGTTTGTTTTTGTTTTTGAGACAGGTCTCTCCGTAGCTTTGGAGACTCTCCTAGAACTACTAGCTCTTATAGGCCTCGAACTCACAGAGATCCACCTGCCTCTGCCTCCCGAGTGCTAGGATATACTTGTGATAAAGTGAATGTTTAATGTGTATAAGGCCCTGGGTTCCATCACTGGCCTCCCCAGAAATGTGTACCTGACTCTGCACCTCTAGATAACATATCTAAGTTAGACATCTTTTAGGATAATCACTAGCTTTTATATTGGTCATTTACTTGATCCACACATAAATACACAATTTTTAGATGCTAAGTTATGTTGGTTCCCTTTCTAATTGTGGCCAAATACCTTTCAGAAACAAGTTAAGGAGAAGATAATATTTTGGCATATGTTTTCAGATGTTGAGTCCTTGGTTGATTGGTACATATACTTGGAGGAGCAACATAGAGGCAGGAGCAGATGGTGGAAGCCGGTCTTTTCTTCTTAGCAGATAAGAAGCAAAGAAAAGGCGGGAGGGGTACATATGAAAATAGGCCAGAGCAGGAAATAGACCCAGAGACAAACTCCTACTGACCTAGTCCTCCAACTTTCTACCACTTTCCAACAATGCTCTTTCCATTTGTTATATCAAAGCTGTCTAATCGCCTCTGGGCAGGAGGAGATTAATCTTCACAGGCAGAGCCAGAGGTAGGCTTTACTGCTCTCCCAGCTATTTGTCCCATCAAAATTAACCATCATTGAGGTGCATGCCAGGTGCTGCAAATTCTGTGACCGTGTTCTTTGTCAGCTCTAGGACTCACTGTGTGCTGGGTGCTTTGCAGGCAGTCATAGTAAGTGATATCAGTGTGATAATGAACGGTGGTATGATGCCCCATGGGAGGGTTTATAGTCTAGAAAAAATAAAGTCAAGGGGCTGCAGAGATGGCTCAGTGGTTAAAAGCACTGGCTGCTCTTGTAGAGGACCCAGGTTTGGTTCCTGTAGGAGGGAGGCTGTTTGTATGTTCTCAGTAGTCCAGACCCAAAATAATCGCACAGAAACTATATTATTTAAGTCAGTGCTTGGCCCAATAGCTCTAGCTTCTTATTGGCTAACTCCCACATAGTACTTTAACCCATTTCCACTAATTTGTGTATTACCACATGACTGTGGCTTATCAGCAAAGTCCCTTCTTCTGTCTCTGGCAGGGGCTACATAGCTTCTCTCTGACTCTGCCGCCTTTCTCCCAGCATTCAGTTTAGTTTTCCCTGCCTAGCTCTGTTTCCCTATAGCTCTGCTACAGGCTCAAAGCAGTTCCTTTATTAACCGATGATATTACAGCATACAGAGGGGAAACCCACATCAGGGTCCCAGAACCCACATGGTGATTCTGTCACTCCAGTTCCATGGGATCCAGTGCCTCTTGTGGCCTCTTCAGGCACGGCACTTGTGTTGTGCATACACATACATGCAAATAAACTCTCATACACATAAAAGTAAAGGCATTGTTAAAGTCAAGAAAGTATAAACAGGAAAGAATGGTCCATGACATCTCAAACCTCAGAGAGATGAGGGACAGAATAAGGACAGAAACTTGTCTAATTTAGGAGCAGTGAAGGAATCTGTTAGTGACCTTTGTAAGAGTGATTTTGGTATGGTAAAAGCAGATGGTGAAATTGCTCTGGGTGGCAGGTGAAGTAGGGGTGCAGAACAGTTGCTTTAAATGGGGGGGGGTGCTGAGTGCTCAGTGGTGCTCAGTGCAGGCTGATACTGTGAGAGCACTGACAGAAGAACAAGGTCTCTGAGGGGAGAGGGCAGTGCTGGCCTGAGTACCAGCTGTACGGTGAGAATGCAGCTCACGGTACTTGGTGACGGAGGTTCCACCTGCAGACTTCTCTTCGTTCTGAACCTTAAGTGCTCAAGTGGTTTGCTGGACTGGGACATTCCACATTTTAGGGGACTTGAGGAGACACTTTGAGATAGTGTTTCTGGCAAAAGGAAATGAGAAGAATAAATAAGAATTCAGAATTTTCAGGCAACTTGGGGGACCCAAAGGAAACTGAAAACTACAAACTTGTCATTATGACCATGAGGATGGTGTGGTTTTCTTCAGGAAGTGGCACTCCCTGACGAGTGCACTGTCGAGACGTGAAGTAGTGGGACTGGCCTATGAAAGAGTTTGTTGGGCACAGGCAATGGAAGAACCGTACAGTGGGGGTGGTCAGGTGAACTGCTGAAGCTAAACAGGAGGGGCCGCCTTGGACGGGGCTGGAACACTAGGAAGCAAGCTAGATCTTGGTGGGGTGAAAGAAGGTGACCGGAATGAAGTGTTGCCAGTCAGTAAGTGCCTAGAGGTCAGGTAGGCTGGGGCTCTTGCTGTCAGTGGGGACAAAGCTGAGGCATTTGGATTGTTCCACTTGCTGTCCATAGGACTTTGGTGTATGCAGAAAGGTGATAGTGCCCACGTACCATTGTGCTTTGTGCTTAGCCCTAACTGACTATCCTTAGTTCTAGTCACTGGAAGGTCAGAGGGTAGAGATTTCTGAAGTGGGTGGGATAAAGGGTGTTCCAAACTCCTGGTGACATTGCCATAAAAATAGCACTCGGGAGGAAGGCTTATGTTCTGGGTTAGGAATCCTGTTGCACGGGGTACCCTGATCCTGCTTTCCAACCCTTAGGTTAAGTGGAGATGAGCCCTGATGGGAGAAACTGGATCTATGTTGGGTGGAAGAGCGTGAAGTGGGAGACTTCTGGTTAAGGCAGCAATTCTCAACCTGTGGGTCATGATCGCCTTGTATCTTTTAGCCCTATAAAGCCTAATATGAAAAGTTAAAATGATGGTGGCCTTGCTTTTTTTGTTAGGTGATGTCGATGACTATAGTGCTGAAGTAGAGGAGCTTCTCCCTCAGCATCTACAGCCGTCCTCAAGTTCTGGCCTTGGCACTTCTCCAAGCTCTTCACCCCGGACCAGTCCCTGCCAATCACCTACAATGCCAGAGTACTCCGCACCGTCTCTTCCCGTCAGACCCAGCCGAGCACCCTCAAGAACTTCAGGGCCCCTGAGTTCCCAGAGTGTGTACTTACGTTAAGTGTTCGTGTGACTCTGTCTAGCCAGTCTGGGGAACCGTTGTGTCCTAGTTTGCTCTCTACTGCTGTGCTAAAACAGTGGCCAAAGCCAGCCTGAGGAAGGAATGGTTGTTTGGCCTACAGATTCATTAAGAGAAGCCAGGACAGGAGCTCAAGGCAAGAACCTGGAGGCAGGAGCTGATGCAGAGACCATGGAGGAACACTGCTTCCTGGCTTTCTCTCCATGGCTAGCTCAGCCTGCTTTCCTATTCCACCTGGACCACCTGCCCAAGGATAGCACTGCCCACAATGGTCTGGGCCTTCCCAGGCCTGTCTGATGGAGACAGTTCCTCAGTTGAGTTTCCTTCTTCCCCAGTGACTCTAACGTGTATCAAGTTAACAAAACTCACAAGTAAACATTGTTTAGCTTTTTAGCCCATGCGCTGAGTGCCCTGAAACAGGAAGCAGATTTCCTCAGCCATGACTCTTAGTGGAGCAGACTCTCAGTCGTTGCTGCTGATTGGGAATTATCCTATTGATGTGTGTTAGGATTGTCTATGTTTTACAACTTGTGATTTTCTGTTCTGTGATGAAATTGTTTGTCCATTTGGGCTCCCCCTCCCCCTTCTTTGCTGGCCAGCAAGTTGTGTATGACATAGTTGAAAGAGTAAACATTTGTCCCTTAAGAGAATTCCTCAGCAAGTCAGCTCTTAGCACCTCTGCCAGATAAGAGGTCAGCACAGGGTAGCACATGGTGCCCATGGTTCCAGACAAGTGGTTCCTTTATTCACTGTTGCTTTATTCACACTGAAAATGTTTTACTATGCCTTTAGTACAGAATTTTTGGAGGATAAATTTAGGTCATTGTCATTACATATGTACATTCCTTCCCACTGTCCCCTGGTTGGCCTCTAATCTTACCTCCTCCCTTTTTAGGTTCTCCAGTTGACAGCCAGCCAGCAGCCCAGAAAGATTCTTCCCAGACCTTAGAGCCCAAGAGGCCACCCCCTCCCCGCCCAGTTGCTCCTCCAGCACGCCCTGCCCCACCACAGAGACCACCTCCACCTTCAGGTAACCGATTACTCTTGGGTGTCTGCTTAGCTTAAAATTCTCCTCCTCCTCATTTTGAAAGCATTGTGCATGTTTTCACGCTGCTAGACTCTGGATTCTGTTTGTGTTTGTATGATCATTATTACTTCTTAAGCTTCTCTAAGAGGAGCCACAGGATGATGTGTCTGTCAAGCAGATTTCTTGAGCATGTGATAGGCTGCCTCTTTGCCTGTGCACAGGGGAGGCTTCTTTGGATCTTGCTAACTTGATGTATTTTTGTGCATGTATGATGTTCTTGGGTAAAATGGGTTTAATTTTTTTTCATTACTCATCTATAGCTTTATAAAGACAACTAACATTTATTTGTGGAAATTTTATTTTAAAACTGAAGAGCATACATGTTTTTAATATGCTTTACATGTGTCTTTAAATGTTCTCTTAGCTAAATACAGTGTTCACTTGCTGTGGGCATATGCATTGAAGAATGGCTTTGTGTAGTGTCTGGATATTTACATAGTCATACATATGTGCTATCATGACTGTTGGAGCAGATCTTGACATCTCAACTCTTATTTAATGTCATTTCCTTTCTGCTGCCTAATTTCTTATGAACTCTAAGGGGCTAGGAGTCCTGCACCTGCTAGGAAAGAATTTGGAGGTAACCGTTTACATTTGCTATCCTGTGTGAATGCTGGTTTATTGTTTTGGAGTTTGAACTCTATAATCAGAGACAGTTTAGGTCTGTTTGGTAAACATCAAAATGAATGACATTTATTCTCATATTATAAAGTTCCAAACTTTATATGTTTCTGTTAACGTACTAGAGCTTGGTTTTATCTGTGAGTAGAACTAATAAACTATATCTTACTTTGCATTTTGAATAACTCATCGAATTCTTGCCTCATCTGTTTATGCAAAACTATGATTTTCTTCTTTTCAGTGAGGCAATTTTTATTCATTATTGGGTGCTTTTATTTAAAAAGTAATTTATTTAGTTAACATGAAAACCGAAAGTAGGAATGGGGATGTGTGTAGGAATGGGGATGCGCCGAGTGTGCTTACCTGAAATGTACAAGCCATGGATTCAGTCCCAGCACTTAAACACGGAGGTAAAACTGACAGCTCATTCTGCAGGGTTCATTGCTGAGTTCATATCGTCTTAAGTCTCAAGAAAAGATGGAGATTGTGCCAATTCTTCCAAGAGCTGAGCAGCTCCAGTGTTAATGATGCTCCTAAAACCCCTGGCCATGCAGAGTTGTTGTGTTCAGCTTCCTGTCGTTGTCAGCTGAGATTCAGGTCAGTTGTGGCCACCTGCCACTGCTTAGGTGAAGATTTTAGTGACTTTGTAATAAGGGTGGCTACATGATTTGAACAGGATAGCTCCTATGAAACATTTCTTCTTTCTTTAGAAAATTCTTTTTATTTTTAGGGTGAATTCCACTTTACTAGGAAACTAATCTGTAGAAATTAAATTTTAAAATGAATTTGTGAAAACTTGTATCATATTAGCAAATCAGTAGCTTTTTTAGAAATCTGTTTTCATTTTAAAATGGCTCCCTTCATAAGTCTGCTACAACTTATCTTATCCTGCAGCCAGTAATCCTCCGAGACAGCAAGCTTAGGGAATCCATCAGAAACTAACTCCTAAGAAAGTAATGTCTTAGCCGGGCGGTGGTGGCGCACGCCTTTAATCCCAGCACTCGGGAGGCAGAGGCAGGTGGATCTCTGTGAGTTCGAGGCCAGCCTGGTCTACAAGAGCTAGTTCCAGGACAGGAACCAAAAGCTGTGGAGAAACCCTGTCTCGAAAAATTAAAAAAAAAAAAAAAGAAGAAGAAGAAAGTAATGTCTTTTTGTAGAAATTTAAGATGGATTTGAAACTTTATTTATGATTATTTTTCTTTTTACTATCAAATAACGTATTCGTAATCTAGACATAAGAAATGAGATGATTAGCTGGGCGGTGGTGGTGCACGCCTTTAATCCCAGCACTTGGGAGACAGAGGCAGGTGGATCTCTGTGAGTTCGAGGCCAGCCTGGTCTACAAGAGCTAATTCCAGGACAGGCACCAAAACTACAGAGAAACCTTGTCTCGGGGGGGGCGGGGGGAACAGAGAGAGAGAGAGATAATCATAAAGTTTTGCATTAGATTTTTTTTGGGGGGGTTCCTTACTGCTGGTAATTTCAGATATGAAAAGGAAGCAATGCTCCTGCTTATGTTCTTAGATCTGAGAAAAAGGAGGAGTCAGCTTTGAGCTAAAATAACTTTGATAACTTCCAAGAGATTTAAAGCAATAAAAGGCCCTTCATGCAACAATAATCGTGTCCCTGCCTTCCATCCTGTGCTTTGGACTCTGAACTATATATAGCTTTTGTTCTTTCTCTGAAAAGGTGTTGGAGCCCCTCCCAGTCCTGGGGTAGCTAGGAGAGAGATGGAAGGTAACAAGAATTTTTACATTATAGATATGGTTCTTGTTCTCAATGTCAGTGTTTCATGACTTACTAAATCCTACCAAAGTAGACACCTCTCCTTGTCCTTACACACACACCTTATGCTTTTCTCTTTTCCTTCTCTGTTGTATGTCTAGTTCCCAGTGGCTACCCATTTAATGTCTTAGCCCTGAGGTTCCTGTGTTGTTCATACCTAGTCCTGTGTACTTGGACTATGAACTTACTGTTGAAAGAATGAATAAGTCACATGTTTACTAATGCTCTTGATTAACCTGAAGGTTAGTAGATTAGTAACTGTAAGGTACTAGAATCGAGTATTTTATAGATTTTTCTTTTTATAAAAGGTGTTTCTAAATATTTTTGGTATTGGGCTAGATTGCTTAAAAGACCACTTGTTGAGGCCATTCGTTAAGACTACAATTATTTATGAACTGCTGTATTAATGTAACCATTGTACTCAAATTTCTCCTCACAATGGAAAGTCAAGGATAATGCCTGCTGGTGTCTTTATTCTGTCTCCCTGAGTAATTTCACTTGATTCTAAGGCTGCCTTCCTGAGTTTGAACCATACTGTAACTCTTCATGTCCATTTGTCTGTACTTGTCTTCTGTCTTGGTCCTGATAGTCTATTGTAGATTCTGAAAGACCTCATCTTAAGGTAGCTTTACCCACAGTTAGACCTGTGCTATGACAGGCAGAGCTGTAGGAGCTGTGGCTCAGGAGCCGTTTGTCTGCCAAGCTGTAAGGAGCAGCTGACCAGGTCTTCAAGGTTCATGGACAGAGGTCTGTGAAGACTGTCACCTTAGTGTGACTCCCTTTGTCTCCCATGCAGGTCTCTCTAATACTCCAGTTTCTGTCTTTACACAAAGCTACGTGCCTGTTTTGTTGCCGTCTCGTGCCTTTGTCTCTGCTGGCAATGAACAGCACAACCAGGTGATGCCATGCACTGTTGATTTCTTGTTTACCTATGGTTGGTTCTTTTTCCTTTCTGTTCCAAAGCACCCAAAAGCCCGGGAACAACACGGAAAGATAATATAGGTAAAAACACTTGAATGTAGTTACTCCCCCTTAAAACTGGGCCATACAATAGACACTTGAAATAGAAGTGCATGGTTTCTTATTTCTTTATACTTTTCACTTTTTTAAAAAAAAACTTTCTTTTTTATACTTAAATACACAATGTGATGTCTTTGTTTCAGGACGTAATCAGCCTTCACCTCAAGCAGGACTTGCAGGCCCAGGACCTGCTGGATATGCTGCAGCCAGACCGGTAGGTAACACCTGGCCTGGGAGTGAAGAGGTATTTCTTCTAAGGTCCAGTTTGCAGCTAATCTGTTTGATAACCTTGGAGGAAATCGGGGGAAACCTCCCAGGCTTCAGCTTTTCAACTCTACAACAAGGGAACTGGTGATCTCTAAGCTTTATCTCAACTCTCACCTTTCTCCCATACCTCCAAATGACCACACTAACATCTTGGTGTCTCTTAAAATATGAAGGAGTAATGTATTTTCTTAGTATCTCTTAAAATATGAAGGAGTAATAATTGTATTTGGATAGCTGTTTATCACATAACCTATTTAATCAATGGAAATACACAGTTATCCTTCCAGCCAGGTATGGTGACATACAACTTTAATCTCAGCACTAAGGATGCAGGATCTCTGTGAGAAGGAGGCAAGCATGGTCTATATAGTAAGTTCCAGAATACTCAGAGAGAGACCTTGTCTTTAAAAAAGGCTTTTTTAAGAAGGACTTTAATTAGCATAAAATTATAATACAATACTTAAACTGGTTCTGAAGATACTAAAACTAGGAAGGCAGATAGCTTATAAGATTTTTTTGCCCTAGTTTATAAAACTATAAATCTCTGGCTTCTGTTTGTTTAGGATATATTTTGTTATATACATACAGTTTCCATTATTCACTCAAATGAAATTTTTCTGAGCTGTAACAGTTATTCAGAAAGAAACAGATAGGGCCATGGATGACTCAGTGGGTAGAGTGCTTGCTACGCAGGCCTGACGACCTGAGCTCTATCCCCTATAGCCCATGTGATGATGAAGAGGAGACTGCTCAGCAGTGTCCTGTGACATCACACATGTGCCATCCATGAATGCCTGCACACACACAAAGAATAAGAAAGAAAAACCATAGGCTAGAGCACCACTATGCCAAGACCTTGGGAACCTAAGACACCACTTCTTATGAAACAGAAACCAGTGTCTTTTTTTTTTTTTTTTTTTTTTTTTTTTTTGGTTTTTCAAGACAGGGTTTCTCTGTAGCTTTGGAGCCTATCCTGGAACTACCTCTTGTAGACCAGGCTGGCCTTGAATTCATAGAGATCCGCCTGCTTCTGCCTCTGAGTGCTGGGATTAAAGGCGTGTACCACAAGTGCCTGGCAAAACTGGTCTGTCTTTAGTAGCCATCTACTTAACAAACTGAAGTCCATATATATAATATAATCCTACTCTTTAAATTAAACTGTCTGTAAAATATATCTCAAGATAGCTGTTACTCTGTTTCACAAGAGCTAAGTTTGCCATATACTGACCACTACCACACCCCCACAGCACCTCGATTATGTAGGGATGGGGAGGGAAGTTGGGGTTTCTGTGAGGCTAAAAGTTCTCTTAACACCAGGCTGGGTGTCTTATATCTGTAACCTCAGCATTTAGGTGGCTGAGGCAAGGAAATTGCTATTGTGAGCCCAAGGCCAAACCGATCTGTGCAGTGAGTTCCAGAGCAGCCTGGGACCACAGTGTCAGGCCTTAGCTTGACCTTAAAGTTCAGGTAACAAATTACATATGAAGTTATTTTGAAAGTTAAATAAAAATGCCTATATTAAAAAAAATGCCTATGGGGCTGGAGAGATGGCTCAGGGGTTAAGAGCACTGACTGCTCTTCCAAAGGTCCTGAGTTCAATTCCCAGCAACCACATGTGGCTCACAACCATCTGTAATGGGGTCTGGTGCCCTCTGCTGGCCTGCAGGCATACACACAGACAGAATATTGTATACATAATAAATAAATAAATATTTTAGAAAAAATGCCTATATCATACTTGCAAGTGCCTGGGCCACAGTACACTGTCAAAAAACAAAAGGGAATGTATTGTGTCACTGTTTCAGCTACAAACAGAAAAAGTGGTGAGGTGGGGACTTACACCCAAGATTCAGTGAGACATGAAAGCAGGCATTTTTTCACAGACTCTAACTGTAGAAGACAGGTTAATGTCACTAGTTTATCCCCATCTCTAGGCAATTCCAGCACGTGCTGGAGTGATCAGCGCCCCTCAGAGCCAGGCACGAGCATCTGCCGGAAGGCTGACTCCTGAAAGCCAGAGCAAGCCCCCAGAGACATCGAAAGGTAGGCGTGCTGGGAGCACACTCCCTCTGCTCTTCTCCTTTCCTCTCTCTTCTCCTGCCACCTAAGATCGAGCTTACTCAGATGGGATCTTCTCCCTTGGCTCCTGGAAATAATGGGAAAATAGAATACCTTTGCACATTGCCCTAAAGAAAAAGATGGCTTGTGGCTTTTTCAGCACGGTTAACATGACAGCCCTTGGTGTTTTAGGTCCAGCTGTCCTTCCAGAACCACTGAAGCCTCAGGCTGCTTTTCCTCCGCAGCCTTCTCTGCCCCCACCTGCTCAAAAGTTGCAGGAGCCTCTTGTCCCCGTGGCAGCACCTATGCCTCCCTCTGGCCCCCAACCGAATTTGGAAACCCCACCACAGCCCCCGCCTCGGAGCAGATCATCTCATAGCTTGCCTGCAGACTCCTCACCACAGCTGCAAGTAAGTGTCGTCTCTGGTGCATATGCTGTATAGCATAGACTCTTAGGCTATTTTAATGACCAGGGGTTAAGAATAAATATGCCACTTGAAAGTAATAGCCCCTTGAAATGACTTTAGTATCATCTGATTCCTGAAATGAATTGCACTCTATTGGCTATTTGAGAATTTTAAGGATTTGTTTGTTTGTTCATATGTGTTGCTTAAGTAAGAAAATCTCAGAGAGCAACAGGAGTGCTTAGGTAATCCCAGGTTAGGAGGCAGAGATTCACAAGTTCAAGGCCAATCTGGTCTTTGTAAAGCGAGTTCCAGTCTAGCAAGGGTTAATCAGTTAAAGAGTTTTCAGATCCCCTGATACTGGATCAGGGTTCTTTAGGAAAGTCCAAGTGGTTCCTCATTTGTAACTTTAAATACATTGTTTGCTTTAGGCAGTTTATTATTTATATGAACAATAATAAGAGTCCTCTTATTGCTGAGATGATATTAGTTTTGGAGAGATGCAATCAAGACATGTTCAGTGTTTAGACACTGGCCTGGTGGTCCATTTCCTGCAGACAGAGTGAGTCTTCACTGCCTCCTGATGTAAGCAGTAGTTCTGTGTTGAGCTGCCACTGGGTTCCTGGGGTTGCTGTCTTACAGGAGGGGCTCACACAGAAACCACAGATGACCACATCCTTTCATTTGGGTCTCACAGAAACCGCTCCATGGCCCTGACATGAAGTCATGGACATTCCTGTTGTCTCATATCGGCAGCGCTGCCATGAGATCTATAATTGCTCTGCACTGTGCTCATTATACTTAAAAGTGTTGTATATTTACCTTCGGGTTAGTTTTGTTGTGTGCATGTAAGTAAAGTTGATAAAATTAATAAGTACATTTTGCTGAATCACCATATACAAAATCTTTACTTGAAAATGCCATCAAAACCAAAGCAGTATATAAAGTTTAGAAGTCCATGCTTTCATCTGAAATGTTGTGTATGCAGTAGTCTTTGAACATATTTATCAGTAATAACTTGCATTTGTTTCACAGATAGATGGTTATATTGACCTATTTGGCAGGCCATTTCTAACACAGATCTCTGTTGCCAAGCAGAATCTAAAGTAGCTAAGACTCAAAATAGTCATTAGCAGTTGGTACTTGCTAGACTGTTGCTTACATTGCTGAAAGCTAAAGAAAGCAATAGAAAATAAAAAGTGTTCTCAGCTGGTTAATACTAAAAGTTACTCTTACCTTTTAGGTTAAGGTAGAGGTGCTGAAGATATTTAATATAAACCCTTCAAAGAATAAATAGCTACTATTCTTTTCCCTCTTCCTCCAACTTTAAAGATTTATTTTTGTACTGTCTATTTAAAAAATTAATTAGAAGGCAGAAATTGTTGAAACTAGTCATCTTGAATACTGTAAATACAGTTTTAAGGCATTCATTTTAGAGTAGACACACCTTCACTCCACCCACTTTGTAATGTCTGTATCCGAGGTCCATTTCATACTGATGACAGTGCCTTGAACCTTTAACGTAAGCTGTTCTTTGACAGAACTGATGCACATGACTCCAGAGTCATCAGGATGGTGGGGACTCAAGTCACAGAGCATCACACTGATGTATGTCAGTGGCTGGCCACTCAGGCACATCCCTGGGTCATCACGACAGTGGTGACTTAAGTCACTGCATCACGCTAATGTATATCAGTGGCAGAACACTGGCCACACATACACAGCCTTGGGTCATCCCCTGCACTGGAAAAAAGGGGAGAAGGAAGGGTAAGGAAGTCGAGAAATTCTAAGGTACATAATATATTTAGGATGGCATCTTTTTTTTTTAATTTTCAAAAAGTTTTTCACTTTATTGAGAAAGCCCCAGTTGAGCTTACCAGTTACTAAACTGCACATTCTGTTTATTGCTCACATGCCAGTGTTTACATATAAACTTCAGTATCAGAAGGGCCAGTGCCTTAAAATACAGCCAGATTATTGAAAGTTTTTTATTTCAATTTTAAACAACAAAAATTGGTTTCTTACCTTGTTGTATCTTCCAGCTATGAAATAATAAGGGAATTAATTTTCTAAGTCCTTTAGAAAACTTGAGCAGCACTAGCAAGGCTGGTGCTGACACTCTCCGTTGGGTGACCTGTACCTCAGCAGAGCGGTGTTGGGTACATTTTCTCCAGTAAGGGAAGTAGTGATAAGAGACTTGAGCTGGCTGGTACTCAAGCTGGACATTGGTAAAGCTTACGTCCTGAGGTCACAAACTGACGGCATCACCTGCACGTGCTCTTCTTGAGCCCCACGTGTGACTAGAGCCACAGCTTTCTGAGGACTGTCTGGTTGGGGCTGTGGCTACTCTGGAATTGTCCTAACTCTTTCCTTTGATGTCTGTGTTCCTTTTCTCAAAGCAGGAGCAACCGTCAGGGTAACAGGTACCTGAGTGTTTATCACCTTCCATGTGCTAGCCATCCATCTCCCCAGCGCAGATGTATGAGGCTTTCGCGTCATACATCTCAAGTTTCACCCATTTTTAAATCCACTCGTCCACATTAATAAATTCTATTACCATACCATAAACTCATACCTGCTTGTTCTTAGTATTTTGGATTTTTAGGAACCATTTTAGTTCTTGCTAATGCTTTACCATTTTTTTTTGCTTTGTTTTCTATACAAATTAACAAAACTAAAAAGTATAATTTCAAAAAGAAATGATTTGTATATGAAAGCCTACTTGGCTAATCCACTTTGGTTCTTGGTTTTAACAATGGCATAATTACATAAACACAAAATCTAATTGTTTATTCCTTAGATTTCTTTTGGGAAGTCTTTTTTCAGATAATTTTAGAAGCCAGATTCTTTTTGGTAAGAAAGAGTTGGTACTTTAAAATTAATAGCATTTAAAAAGCCCTTCCAACACCTTTCTCTGCAGAAGCTCCTCTGATGTCAGCACATCTCCACCCTTCCCAGATCCTGCTTAGGTCACAGTTAATCCAGTGTGGATGGTGGTCTGGTCTCACTGTCATGTGCACGCCGGTTTCCTCTAAGCCTGCTCAGTCCAGGGGCCGGGCTGCCCAACCAGCATCTTGGTGGACAAGGGATTGGGAGGGAGTGTGATTTTCATGGCTGCAGTGTTGACTCTGAACACCCCTCCCCTGGCTCTCGGCTCACAGCCAGTGCACTCAGCGCAGCCTTTTTGGTTTTAGGATTTTTAGAATTGGTGTTCATATAAAATGGAGTGTCCCCACCCCACACTTTAAATAACCCTTGCTTTTATCTGTCTTGCTTGATAGGATGAGGAAGGTCCATTAAGGAAAGTTGTGTCATTCAATGAGCCAGCTCTCATTAAAAAGCAAAGAACCTTTGAAACTCTACTTTTCCAAACAGAAAGGAAAAGACTCCATCTGCAGTTTTGAATTTATGAACATAGCTTTTATTCCTAAAATTGAATTTCTGTGGGGAATTTAGGTGAAAATATAGCCTCATAGATGGGTGTTGGAAGTTTATTATGCATATTTACCAAATGCTCTTAGCATATAAGTTTAAGTTTGTGCTAAAATTTAAAAGAACAGGATATGAACAAACTCATATAATTCTCTTTCTTACCATTTCAAAAACTGAATGAAAGAAATTATACCATCATATTTCTTTGAGATTTAAAACATGGATTTAATAGAAGGATTTATTTAGTTATAAATTCTTCAAGAACATAATTTTACCTATTTCATTCTATTTATTAAGCCATCAAAATAAAAACTTATAGTTACTTTTTAGTTTCTAATTTGTATAGTTGCTCAAGAAAAGGAGAAATAATAAAGATAAGAAGAAAAGGAAATAATAAGTAAGAACCAGTCATTCAATGTTCATTCTTTTCCAGGTAAAAACAAATGGAATTTCTGGTGTCAAACAAGAGCCAGCATTGAAGAGTGACCCATTTGAAGCTCTCTCACTTAGTCTGCTTGCTGTATCAAAGGCTCAGCTGTCTGCTCAGATGTCACCTGTTCTAACCCCAGACCCAAAGATGTTGATTCAGTTGCCTTCTGCATCGCAAAGTAGTGTTAACTCTTTGAGTTCTGTGAGTTGCATGCCAGCCATGCCCCCAGTTCCAGCTCGGAGTAAGTCGCAGGGAAGTATGGGAACCTCAGCAAATCCGTTTTCCAGCCTGCCCAGCAGGAATCCTTTTACAGACAGGACTGCTGCCCCTGGAAACCCATTTCGAGCTCAGTCACAAGAGTCAGAGGCAACTTCTTGGCTGTTCAAAGAAGAGCCTGTTCCTAGCAGTCCTTTCCCTCCTCTCCTGCCTCTCACTCATGACACGAGCAAGCCATCCAGTTCACTTGATGGTTTCGAGGACAACTTTGATCTGCAGAGCCATTCTACAGTAAAAACAAGCAACCCCAAAGGATGGGTAACCTTTGAGGAAGACGACAACTTTCCCACAGTGGGAACGTCCAAGTCAGTTTGTCCAGCGCTGCTGGGTACCACGCCAACTTCATCTGATGACTGGAGTAAAGGTGCAGGTGTTGCTTTCTGTGTGCTGCCAGCCAGAAGGCCACCGCCTCCTCCGGCCCCTCTGCTCCCACCCAGCACGAGCTTGTCTGCAGGACCTTGCACAACGCTAGCATCTAAGGCCTCTCCCACACTGGACTTCACAGAAAGATAGTTAGTTATATGATGGGAAGGGAGTTCCTGCTGGTTTGCTCTGGCTATTTGTTTCTGTTTTGTCGGGCTAGACTCTGGAGAATGGGGCATTAGTTATTCATTATGTGCAATAAGTAATCGTTGCGCGCACTGATATCTATATAAAGACCACCAGAGGTGTGGTCAACGCTGGAATTTGTGTATATTGGAAATAACCAAGACATCCTCTTACTAACTGGAGTTCTGGTCTTTCTCTTCAGATGAATAAGGAAGAGCAGGAACCATTTTAAGAAGTGCTCAAAACTACTTTAAAAACTAGTCCTTACTCAGAAATTCACATAAACACCACACAAAGCCAACACAGCTGTAGCTGACACTCTGCCAGCCTACTGCTGTTTGACAATTGGTACTCACGGATATCTACCAAAGAGCTTCCAGAGTTACAGTTAAACCGTTCTGAGGGCATTGCTTTAGCAAGAGGTCTATATGCATGTGTTTATATACACACAGACATACATATTTATAAAACTTAAGTCTTGAGATACAATTCAGATACAGTTTTACCCAGAAGTTCTGACAATGTCCTTTTTTCGGGATCTCATCATTAAGAAGATGGCTACCGCCCAGGTGTGCTTTAGATGCTTTCGCTAGTTTTAAAGCCCAGAGTAGGATGACTGCTTTACAGAACTGCCATCTCCTACTATACACCAGCCCTTCAAACTCACCCTCATTACCTCCCTCCCCGTACCTCTAGTATGCCTTTCTCTGGGGTTACAGTTGGCAGTCCAGGCCTTGTGGTCAGTCACGTGACAGACACTCAGACCGGCAGGGACAGAATAGCAGAGCTAGCATGCTCTCTTCTGTGCGACCCTGTCCCTCTCCACCCCTGTTCACCGCTTTGCTCTGAGTGCTCTGAACTGGGAACATATCCCAGGCGTGTGCCCTCCTGTGTGAGGCCGTAACCCATCTGTGATGCTGCTTTAAGGTTTTAGAGGCTATACCTCAAATTTGCTGTGGATTCTGTCTCCTGCACTGCCAGTATGCGACCCATTTTGCTCTTATTAATTTTGTGAAGAAGTACATGGAATTTTTTTAAAAAAAAAAAAACATTGTATTTTGATATCGTTAAGTAAGCCAGTTGGGAAAACTCCCTAAGGTGTTGTTTGGTTGGTTGTCAGTTGAAGTTAAAATTATCCTTACACATTAAGACTTTAATGTTCTTTTTATATAAAAATTACATATATACACCTAAGTTCCAGTGTCCACATGAACCTTTAAAGATGTGTATTGTGAGACTAGAAATATGTATAGCTGCTGTCACACCCTTGTAAAAGCACAGCAAACTGTGTTGCACTTGTAATGTAGAGCCATCTGTTAGGACAGAGCACTTTGCAAATGCTCAGTGTTATCAAATACTGTATCTATAGTGTCCTCGGCTACAGCCAGAAGGGGCTGGAGCAATAACTCTGTGAGGTTTCCATTGTGCTTGTGGGTTCTAATCATTTCAACAGTAGTAGCTCTTAAACCGCAGTATTATGATAGCAGTGTGCTTCAAAATGTGAATTAGCTTGTTCCATCTGTGTGACTAGTGTGTGTGGTATCCGCTCCCCATTAGCAAGCTAACCCATCGTTAGGAAGCTGATGCAGTGCGACCGCAGCCCTAAGCAGTGTGTCTCGGGTAAACACTGTCAAGTCTGTAGAGCAGCCGCTCAGCCTTGTCTGGCCTGGCACTCTGCGGAAACGCACAAAGGAAGTGAAAGTTTGCTACGAAAAACTAGATATTGTGTATGAATATTTACCAGCTCTGGTTAAAGCAGAGCAGAAAATAGACACTAAGAATCTGTGAATGTCTGTTCTCTATAGTAGACTGATGTTTATATGTATGTAAGAGTTTTATTGCTTATGTGGCATACAATATTTATAACTATACTTTATAGAAGTACAGTATTAAAGTCCGTGGTATACATTCTGTACATATCCTGTGAAACGTGCTGTCATATGAAATAAATATGTCTTTACCGCTAGATGGCTTCTTTACTCAAAAGGGAAGATTTTCTCAGCTATTTTTCATATTTTACATAAACAAATTTTATGACATTTGAAGAAAATAAGTTAGTGCTTTTTTTCCTTTTCTTTCGTGCGTGTGTGTGTGTGTTCATGTGTGAATAAGAGGTAATTTATTCTGGGATCAAATTTGAACGGTCATGGTGGATTTAGGTTACCCAGAATTCTATGATCTACCATGGAAAGCAGTTTCACGCAGTTTTATAGCTCTGTAAAGTCATAAGGCATAGCAACTTTAAAATACACCAATGGATGCATCCAACAGGCAGTTACAGGATGATGCTGGAAGTTGTTTCTGTGGGCATCAGAACTTTGTGTTAACTTTTGTTTCTGGAAGCTTAGTTTATAGCTTGCAAAGGTTTTAGGGACGTTAGGTCAGACCTAGAGGAGGGCAGTGGATGGCTAGCTGTTCAAGGGGCTAAGCTAGCGAGACAGGTAATCAGCTCCAGACCTGCAACAGTCCAGTGTCCGTGCATCACTGCAGTACAATCAGTTACAGGGGCAGCAGCTTTTTCCACCAGCAAGTAAGTAATATAAAGTGCCGCCACACACACACACACACACACACAAGAAACCCACTATTTAGCCAAACTGAATTTGGAATCATTTCAAGGCTACAGAGCAGTTACCCTAGTTAATTTTCTTTATTCCTCTATTTGAATTTCCTCTCCATTTGTTTTTCTTTCCCTTTTGTCACACTTAAAGCATCCAGGGCTCCTCCACTATGTCTGAGCACCCTGATGAATAGTGCTGCGCCTGCTTGCTGGGAAGGAAAAGGGGCAGCCAAAGAAACCCACCCCAGCCCTGAAACCAGAGCCACTGAAAGAAACACACCCTGGCTCTGACACCCAAGCCAGTGAAAGAAATTAGCCCTGAACCAAGAACCAAAGAAATGTACCGAGTCTGAAACCTGACCCTAGAATCAGTGAAAGAAATATGCCCTGGCCTTGAAATTAGAGCCAAAAGGCTAAAAGGAGCCAAGGAAAGAAACACTTTGGTCCTGAAACCAAATCTGCTCTTGACCAACTAAGCAAAAAAACAACCAATTCCTATGCAAGAAAACGAACCAATCACTGAGCAGAAAACCATTCAATCCCTGAGTATGAGATTTAGCTAATCTGAGCTCAAGGGTCTAAAGTCTGACCAATTTCCACCCTGAAAAATCTCCCTGGAAAAACTCCACCCCTAGAAGCCCTATATAAGCCGGGCGGTGGTGGCGCACGCCTTTAAGCCTTTAATCCCAGCACTCGGGAGGCAGAGGCAGGCGGATCTCTGTGAGTTCGAGACCAGCCTGGTCTACAAGAGCTAGTTCCAGGACAGGCTCCAAAGCCACAGAGAAACCCTGTCTCGAAAAAACAAAAAACAAAACAAAACAAAACAAAAAAAGCCTTATATAAGTCTTCACAGAGGAGTCACTCTCCTGGATTCTTCCCTCCCAGTAAACGGTTTGAATGTGTTTTGGGTGAAGACCTTTCGCTGGAATGGAGCGGGGCAGAACTGTAACATGAGCTGTAACAGCTTCGTTGAGGAAGCCTCTCGCTAGGGTAGGACTGTAAACTACTAAGCTTACTGTGACCTGTGGTATTCCCTGGCTCCCGATTGCCAGAATACTTTTTCATCCGAGCTGTAGCACTTAATATTCCTTGGTTCCCGACTGCCAGGATCCCTTTCCATTAGAGCTGCAATGCCTACACTTGCCCTTTGTGAGATTGTGGGGACAAGACTTAGCCGTACAGTCTGGGGGGGCTCAGCCACTGTGACTTCCCCAGATCTGAAGCAGAAGGCATTTCCGGAGGCGATCAGTGCCTGTGCGGAAACGAGTCTGGGTTTGGGGGCGACTGTGGTCCCGTGGTGCCCACCATCCCACTCAGTTCTCAACTGGGAGCTACCACGCACGCTCTGTCAGCTCATCTCCCGGGTTCCCTGGACAGTCCGCTCACCTCTAGAAGCTTGGTTTGGGTTTCGGTTGCCCGGACCACAGCCACTTCCGGTAGCGGCGACTGTGCGTCAGGCTCGGGCGCAGGAGGCCCTTCCGGCTCAGTGTTTGACTGTTGCTCCTGGCAACAGTCACTTCCGCGAGCGTGCGCCGATCTTTTTACTCACCGGACGGACGCGTGAGCCCGAGTTCCCGGGTTCCGCCACTGGGCAGCAGTTAGTCTCACTGCTGTACCGGACGGGCTGGCCTCTTGGGCCTGCAGGCCTCCTGTTCCCTGCCTGCCGCCCTACCCCTCGGCGGGGCCTTCGGCGCAGCTATGGTGGTGCTGCACGTGAAGAGAGGCGACGAGAGCCAGTTCTTGCTGCAGGCTCCCGGGAGCACTGAGCTGGAGGAGCTCACGATTCAGGTGACCCGCGTCTACAATGGGCGGCTGAAGGTGCAGCGGCTCTGCACAGGTACTGCCGGTGCACAGGGGAAGGACTGGGGAGGGCTCGAGGTTTGAGGATTCGGAAAGATTTACAGTAACCTGGGGACTGGAGAAGGAGCATCAGAGTTGACCCGGGATGGAAGACCAGCAACTGGAGAAATCCAGGCAAGGTTGGTACCCCCGACTCAGAGATGGACAGCGGGAAGCCAGAATTTGGCGTTGGGCCCAAGGGCAGTAGGAGGGAGCCGAAAGATCCCAGCAGAACCAAGGAGTTAGCCCGGGTGAAGGTGGTGTAGTAGCCATGGGGAGGGGATTGTCAAGTACGCCTTTTTAAGACTTTGAGAGCTTGGGTCCTGGCCTTGAGACCGCCCATCAAAAGTGAGGGACACTGGGAGAGCCTTGGTGTTGTTTTCTGTCTCCTAGGAAACACGTGTTATATCTGCATTCTAGACAATGCCTTAAAACCTGTTATATTTTCCCCTAATTAAACTTCACTGCTTTCAAAACAGGCTCAATATTAGATGACATTTAGAGAGAGAAAACTCCGGGTCTTCTTTAACATTGTAAGTTGAAAGTATAGTGCGGGATATTAGGGTTTTGTGGGTGAATTTAGAATTTAGCAGATGTACTCTACGGGTGCCATTGCCAGTCAGCACTCGGGCAGGCACCAGTGCGCTGCTTTAGGACGATGAGGGAAGAGTCACCTCAGCCCCTCTCCCAAGCATAGTGTGCAAAAACATCCCATCCGCTTACACCATTTATCGTGTTGTATTGTATGTACTGTTGCAGGTCACATATATTCCCAGTATTACAGAAACACACAGGAAGGACAGGCAATATAGAATGGCTCAAAGTTTTGTGTGTGTGTGTGTGTGTGTGTGTGTGTTGGTGTAGGTTTATACATGTTAATATATATATTCATATTTATTATATATGCTGGTGTAGATTTAAACACGTATGCGATAGGAAAATATAAGATCATGCACTTGGATAGTAAACATGAGGTGAATTTTCACGTTTTTGAGGGTTAGTTGCTGTCGTAGCCTCTGTTGCTGTGATAAGATACAATCCTTAAAAAGTCACTCTAAGTGTTCAGTCTCTCAAAGTCCAAACCTCTCTAAAATATCTGTCTCATAATCGGGTTCCTGTAAAGTCAGCGAACAAGTTAACAGCTTTCTTATTCCAAGAGGGAAGGACTAGGCTCAGTAACATTCAAGTCAAAGCAAAGCCAAACTCCAGCACTGGAGAGGACAGTGACAGACATTTGGGACTCAAGCTCTTCTAGGCTCCTCCATCCAGAGCACACACACCGACGGCATCTCATAGCTGAAGCTGGCTTCACTCCACAGCTGCTCCTGTCCTTGGTTGCCACCTTCACCAGTGGCACCAGTTGCCTCCTGGCCTCCCTTCAGGGTCTCACCTGCCACATGATGCCAAGTTTAAGCCTCTCTCCGTGATCCCTGCAGCTGACGCTGCACCTTCACCAATAGCCCCTCTTGGCCTCTTCCTGTGCCCAGCCTCCACTGTCCTCCATAAACCCCCTCATGTCCTCAGAAAGTAGTACCATGTGGCGGTTGTGTATGCACTACCAAGTTTGGCTGCAGGCATGAGATGCAGCTTTGGCACCTTTAGACCCCAGCTTGTAGACAGATGTTTCTGTCCTGCCTAGTCCCACAGCTGTTCAGTTCCAAATAAACACACAGAGGCGTATACTGATTATAAACTGTTTGGCTTATTGCTCAGGCTTATTATTAACCAGCTCTTACAACTTAAATTAACCCATACTTCTTGTCCATGTTTAGCCATGTGGCTTGGTACCTTTTCTCAGTGCAGCATCCTCATCTTGCTTCCTCTGCATCTGCCTGGTGACTGCTGAATCCCCCCCCCCCCCATGAGGAAGAGCATTTTGCCTCGATGGTGTTGGTATCTTCTTATCCACAGCCAATTGAGCTGTGTTTCACTCCAGCCAAGTGGTTCTGGTCTCTTGAGAACTGCAGCTCATTTCTCAGCTCCAGCTGACCAGAACCACAGGTTCTTAATACAAATTATCATCTTTGTTTCCCTCTGAACCTTCACGAGCCAGACCTCCATTGTCTGCATTGCTCTCGGGACTCATATCTCAGGCTCCCACACCAGCCCATTAAGCTCTGAGCACTCAATGGCTCTTCCAGCACAAGGTTCCAGACATTAACACTATTGTCCTCAAAACATGGTTAGGTCTGTCCTGATACTCCAGGATGCTGATACCAGGTTCTGTCTTCGGTAGCTTTCTATAGCTGTGGGAACAAACCAACTTGGGGAGGAAAGAGTTTGTTTCTTTTTTGAAGGTTTAGTCTGTGAAGGGCAGGAACCTAGAGGCAGGAACTGGAGCAGAGACCATAGAGGAAGACTCCTTCACTCAGACTTTTTTTTATGCCACTTGGGACCATCTGCCCATGGGTGGCACCACCCACAGGGTGCTGGGTCTTCCCACATCAATCCTGTTTGTCCTACACTTGTCTATGGGCAATCTGATAGAGGCGTTTTCTCTGTTGAGCTTCCCTCTCCCTAGATATGGATAGGTTTGTGCCGAGTTGACAAAAACCAACCAGGACAACTGCCTTAAATCCTTCCCCGTGATTTATCTAAATTGTTTACACAGTGTTTGTGTAAAGTTTTATGAGAGAACGCATGTGT